TCCGTCCGTCCGTCCGTCCGTCCGTCCGTCCGTCCGTCCGTCCGTCCGTCCGTCCGTCCGTCCGTCCGTCCATCCATGCGTCCATCTGAACCTAGCCTAAACGACTTAGCGCGAAACTACGGTGCGCAGTATTTGAATTGAGAATTTGTTTGTTTAATTCCAGGTGGTCGGGGCCCTGTTCGCGCTGTGCCTCGCCAATTCTATAAGAAACATGGACAGAAGGTCACGCTACTAATATTTTGTATTACAACTGGTACCTATGAACACAATTTCTTTGGTTATTTGTCTTGTTAAGCGGGCTGTGTTCACTGCATGGCTGATTGATTACTGTTCTTGTGGCTCTCGTTTGTCTTTGGCCCATCATCTATCACAGCGGAGCTCTTCTGCTTCCTCGTTAATATTTAATTCTTTTGACTAAGGGAGTCAACACACTTATTAACACGGAATCGCTGTCAGCCGAGCAGAAAACCTTTATGTCCATGCAGTAAGAGAAAGACGTTACGCCCAAACTGCAAACGCGAAACGCAGAAGGTCTTTGTCCCTCTTCTTACGTGGACATAAAACTTTTTTTGACCCAATTAATGCGATTCAGTGTCGACAAGTTTGGTGACTTTAAGGGCGGTTACACACGCCGACGTTTAGCAGCGATGCAAACGCGATACAGTAACGATGCAGTCGCTAATCGTCTACCTTTAGACACGCGCGCGATTGCTACGTTGGGATCGATGCAATCGCGCATTTGTATCGATGCAGTCGCGCGTTTGCATCGATGCAATCGCCTATAAATCGCAAGTATGCATCGCTGCTAAAAGAGGCCGTATGTAACTACTCTAAGATGTGGCTCCAACGCCTCTCCTGTCACAGGAGCGAAAAACAATTGGTTGATTAATATTTCCGTAGATTAGGAAAAAAAGGGATGAAACAGATCTCCGCTCTGATTTTGTTAAACAAATAAATCTATATAAGGTTATTTTTAAAATACTAATAACGGATTATATTAGTAACATCACAAACTTTTGTTCTGACTTTTTACAAAACATAATAAATTAACAACCAAAAATAAACTTAAGTGTTTGTCGACTAAATAACACTTTTTAGATAGCTACTGTGAACTAGCAACGCGTGTTATATCAATTTTCTAAAGATTTCACTTTTTAATACCATTTTATACTATTTCATACTCCGCAAGCATTGCAAGAAATTCCATCTCAGATGCATTTTCTTTGGGCGCCAGAATCGACTACATTCAACTTGTATTAACTTCTAACCAGATGCTATATAAATGATGCAAACAACTATTTTCTTCATCCTGTAAAATTGTCAAAATTGAGATAGTTCCAGTTGCCAGTTCACAGTCGATATGTAATTTGGTAGAATAAGTTCTAACGTGGAAGTGTCCTCCGCGACACCCCGTGCTGCACAGAGTTATTACCGTTTAGAGCGATCTATTCAAATGTTTTTATTTTTGTATGAAAGTAAAATATGAGGAATTATTGAAAGTCGTGGAAGAAAAGTTGTTGTTTATGATGTTAGTAATATAATCCTGCGAGATTTTTAGTGTTTTAAAAATAACCCTTTATATTTCTCCTTTATTGTTTCTATGTTGCCGTAACAGCACATTCGTGTTAAGGACACTCAACAATTTGAATTTCCTTATTTTAAATTCTAATAATTAAATATGTGTAATAACTAATGATTCTAACTTTGTATTCTGAGAAGAATATTGATTATTTACTGCATTTTTAACGCAAATGTGCTTTGCCATTTTTATAACCAACACAAGTGTCCTGTCTAATTAAGGTTACATTTAATGAAAATAACGACGTTCATTAACTAATAATTAAAAACTCGAGTCATCGTAAAAAGGTTGGTTTTTCTTAATTGAGTTTCATCATTCATTAAAGTATGATTAGCTAAATGAGTTCCACAAAAACAGGCTGATATTGTATTGTTTGTGTGTCTTTGTTTAAATTCGTAATCAATTTTTGTATTATTATATAATAAATATAACATTGTTATTTGTGGTGATTGATTATTGCGGACGATCAATGTTCAATGTCAAAATGAAAAAAGATTATTTTTTTCAATTTCACTCAGAATTTTTATTTCTTTTTTAATTTTTATTGAACTTGTCGCCAGAGTCATTTTGGTTTGAAGTTGATTAAAAACATTGATTGTCCAATAAATTACGGGAGTAAAATACACCCCTGCTTTCGTATGGTTAAGCTTTACTAACATCTTTGTGCGCAACTAATTTAGTATTAAAACTTATATCTATAATAAAAACTAACTTTGTAGTAAAATCATTCTATACAGCGTTCTACGTAGAAAAACACATGTGGTAACATGCGGAACTCTTTGTAGGATCATGAACAGCGGTTTAATAAAGCACGAACTACACTTATCGGTCCTATTTGTACGGTTGCACAGTATGTAACGTAATCATCCAAAATTAAGATGTCCTAAAATCAGTCTAGTGTCCTATAAATTCTCCAATAATCGGAGAATAGGTAGGTTCGGACAGTATAGAATCGGAAGGCGTAGTACGCGCTTTAGTTGCCTTAAACATTTTTAGTCCACTCTGAATCGGAGGTAAGAGGTTACCACATTACTATTCGATAATCTCGTTCTCCCATAGCATGTTCAGATACATAAAATGTTTTCGTGCAACGTGTCGTTTTAAAATTGAAGGTGGCTTAAATGGAATTGGAGTGCATTTTATTATACAGGATCGCGTAGAGTACTCTTTATTAACATTTTTATCTCGTTACAGATTATAATGTGTACATTATTTAATGTTGATAAAAACGTATATCGTTTAGCTTGCGTACTTTAAACATGATATAACTTTGTTTGATTATAAATGCTACAGTGCGTTTGTTTATTTGATCCAGTTACTCGCATAGTACTTAAATAACCGCTACCAAATTTGGGACACCCATACCTTGACGCTTTTTAACAAGGTCAATCAGTTAATATGCCCAAGATATCAAAGAATCCAGATGTAATTAGAACATTAGTGATTTGTACGATACGACGTACTTTGCCGCCGTTACTTGCAAGGGCGCATGTGTCATTTAAAAAAAAAGTGTTATGTATACGTGATCAGTGAAAAAAGGTCGATCTGTCACTATTTTAATTTTTTTCCAAGGTGGATAAGGTATGAACTTACCACATTAGAAATTTGTTTTTTTTTTTAATTTAAGTTCTTTAAACATTATTTTCACGGTTTTGAGTTTTTGTCACAAGCGCCCTTTCATCTAACGCCGTCAGTAGTACTCTGGAGTACATACAAGGAGACTAGAAATGAGGTTATCAGCGCAAAAAAAAACCCACATTATTATTATTTTTTTCTACAATATTTTTTAAATGATCCTACAATTACAATTAGCATTATGTATACCACGGCTGGGCAAAGGCCCCTCCACGCATCCCGATTCTGAGCTAACTGGACCCAGGCTATGTAGGCGTCCAGTTTGTACACGCCATCGCTTCTACGGTCTGCCGCGAGGCTTTACACTTTTGGAGCTCCACTGGGCGGTTACCTGGGTCCACAGGTCTTCAGACATGCCGCAGACATGATCAGCCCAGCTGCATTTTAGTTTCGCAGCTTTTTGGGCTACAATGCGATCTGCAAGCAAGCGCTCAATCATGTCTTTTAGTTACATTACGATCCTTGTACAACCGCAGCATTCGGTTCCGCACGACTGTAGACGGCGGGCAACGTTATTTTCACCTCTGAGCGCATGCTTAGGTTTCTTTTGCAAGTAGTGAGCGTCTGGTGCCTTTAGTCAGATTTAGCAGGCTATAATAGCGTAGGTAGGTTTTCGATTTTGTATGAGAGTGTTGTATCTGTTACGTAGTAACTACGAAGTAATGTGTGATTTAGGAACGCAGTGTCGCGTTCCGAATTCGGTCGTTCCGTTTCACACCAAGTATGCTGTGCTCCAGTGCTCCAGTGCTCCTAAATTATCCTAATATACATAATTATTTTTATATTTGAATTCCATTTTCATGTATAAAAAATTATTAAATATTTTTTATACATGAAAATAGCATCCACGTACCATTAAGTAATGTTGTAGAAACAACATTGAATGTGGGTTACACCACTTTTGCGCTGATAGCCTCAAATATAGGTTACGTTTATCGTTATTAATGTTTTCCGACAAGAATATATTCTTTATCAAGCAACTCATTATACAATATAGCTGGTAACCAACTCATACATCCTTATTAAAGTGGCACTAACGACAAAATTACATCTTTATAAGCCCAGTGTATATCATGATATATAAAGACTACAAGTCTCTAGATACTGGTTGGCCATCAATACTTTTGTGTAAATACGTTTTATAAGAGCGAGTCGTATCTACATCCGTTTTTGTACACTTAAATTGTAGATATTTGTTTCCAACTTAAGTTCCGTGTATTTTTACAAAGTTTTCTAGACCGATTTAGAAAAAACGTAAGAAAAAACGAAAGAGACAGATGTACTGAAATTAAATTCAGTTTAATTTGCGTTTGTCCTTATCGACGCCGTATACTCGATTTTGGTGTTTAGAACTTATAACCTTATAATGGTACGCTATGACATTCCAATGAGAATAAACTTCATAGAGATCGTATGAGTATTTTTTTAGAAAACAAGCTCCTTCCGCTACCAAATCGTTGCTTACAATGAGTTGTGATATTATGCGGATGTTTGCCTATATTTAAAAAAATCCAGTGTATTGATAAGAACTTTAATCTTGTATGCTTGAGACTGTTCTCGGTTTAATCCCTGACGCAGAGCTCGTTTTTCGAAGTTGTGATGATTTAAATGATATTTGTCATTTGCATTTTTTACTTATTTATGATCATTGGTGATTTGCCCTAAAAGTGACAAGAATAGTGAGGTCTTAGTATAGTGTGATGCAGGTTTATCGTCTGTGGTATTTGTTTATACTCTACAGCTGTCAAAATTTAAATTAACTGAAATAAAGTCGCCCATTTTTACAAGCGTTCGATTCTTTGATAAAATCTAATAATGGTTGAATAGCAGTCTTTGAAGACTTGTCGATGCTTTCCAAAAATAGTATCTTATATTAAAATAGTAACTCTTCCGATTTACTATAGAGATAATAAGAATGCCAAACTTATTTGAAAATCGCAACAACGATTTTTTTTTAATTGAAATAATCCTGACAAGATTTTGTCAACTTTGCGCGCCATCTTCTCTTAGAGGATGGAAAAAAATAATCATAGCCTAAGCATCTTTCTGATGAATTATGGTTTTGAGATAGGCTGCTATTCTAGAGAGCCATCGATTTCGTTACCCCGTCGGTCATTATTAGGCAAAATAGTTAAATATTTAAAACGGTTATTTTCGTTGTCTGTAACGATTTAAGAAGTGCATAGAACAGCTATAACTGGGCAAACGTGGCGAAGGGCTCATCGCAATCGAAATTCAAAATATTAATCTTAAAGCTTCCTCGCAGGCATTGAGCTTAAATTGTTGCTTTTCGACACTTACTATGTGTCTTGGCACATTGACTTTGCCTTTACCTTTTTATAATATGGACCCTTCGCCACTGGTAGTGATTTATCTAATAAATACTTATACTCGTTTAACATTGATCTGATGGTGTATTGTTAGAGTATTTAATAATTTAGATTTGGAATAACGTTTTACATCTCGATGTCTGTTTATCTGCTAATAACGAAATTTCTAACTATTTTTGTATAATATCTCTTAACATGTTGTAATTGAACTATTTATGTAAAATTTTAACCATTTTGAATCTTATTGTATTGAATTACATTCGATTATAATATAATTAGTATAGTTAAAGTATTCATAAATTCTGAGCACAATGTGTGTATGCCTACATTTTATTATACCGTCTATTTATTCCCTAAGTGTAATATAAACACTTAGACTCAACTCACACTGGCGCAAAGTCGAAGTCGCGTCGACGCGCGACGAAGCTCGCATTAGTGCGCCGGGATCACAGAGTGGTCGGCGTCTGACGCCTCACGGCGCCCAAGTGACGCGCGTCGACTCGAAACCGCTCGACTGCTACCGAGAGTCGACGCTCGATTCCATATTTGCAAAAGACAAATTTTTACCCTAGTAATAGAAAAATAGAGATGAATATGCTATCGACGAAAAACGCGCAAAAAAAAAAGGCGCGTCGCGACGCTTCGACTCTTTGCTAGTGCGAGTTGAGCCTTATGGTAGAGGCGCGGTCGCTAATATTGTGATTGATCGTAATTATCAAATCAAAAGTAAAATGCCGAACTTCACACACAACGTCTTTTTCGAGTGTCCGTTTTTCAAAAAGTTTGCGCAAACAGGCAGTGTGGTGTAATTTTTTTCTCACAGTGCATTCTGTGCCACATGTCGCATGTACTACATTCTTCCTATGCCTATAATTTAATACAGTGTCCTTGTTGACAACGCATCTTTAGCTTCATGCAAAAAAATTGTACCATATCGTCGGCTAAATATATAAACCTCGTAACTCCGTTTTTGGACGAAACCCCTTTTTTAATTTCCCAAACTTAAATAATCTTTATTTCAATTACATTTGAAATATTCGTAAGACAAATTCCCTTAGAAGAACGCACAAGAAACTCTAGAGGTTGCTCTTAATAAATACATATAATAAATATGATTCCTGACCCTGTTTTATGAAATAAAGATGTAATCATAGATTGTCATATAATTATTCTGGTAATTTTTTTTACGCCTACTGAAAAGTTCATATTTTGGAGTTACGAGGTTTAAGATTTAGCTGACGATATGACTCAAGAAATTTAATAATACATAGTGTATGTCAAAATCAATTGCAGTCTAAATTGAATTAAATTTCTCGCCTTTTTAAAATAATTTTCGTGCGTCTCGACTTGATGACTACTGCATATTATATCCCCATTGTTTGCATTCTGCAAATATTTGATGCAAGGCAAAAATGCTCTACGTCATGCATGCATTACACAAATTTATCATTGGTGAGAAGTGTGCATAAGCCTAAAATTTAAAACCGCGCTCCTACCGTAAATGTGAGCTATTTGCTATATTAATGAAATAGTGTTGTATTGTAAACGCCTATAGAACGTAAGTGCCAAATCATAACAACAGCTCACACAAAACTGCCAGGCACTTTGTTATAACAATGTTAATCTTAAAAACAATTTTGTGACAAATAAAGTAAAAAACTGTGATTTAACAATAAATCAGTAAATTCGATGTGTATCAAATTGTTTGTTTAATTCACCTGTGAAACAGTTCGTTTCGTTTTGAATTTGTACAAAAATTACAGTAAATATTTTCAGAGAATTAATTCAATTATCGAAAAATGAAACGAACATGAACAATTTACATGTACCTGTAATTGATTTTTCTATAAGTTGTAGGCATGGCATGACACACATTAGGTAAGTGAATTAAATATTTTGTAAAGTACTAATAGCATGTTCCGTTCTATGTAGACAACGTTAATTATGTATTCTGAGAAATCATGTCGATTGGGCGCATAAATTGATCTATTTATTCATTAATTTTTAGGTCGAAATGATTTCTCACAAAAACTATTTTAAGCATTGTAGAAGTGTTTTTTCTTTGTTTAAAATTTAATTTTGTTAATTTATTTTTGCTTTTTATCAATGGTACCAGTAATTATAAGAGTATTATTTTGAATTTTAAAGGATATAAGGGGCTAAAAATTAATTTTATCATTTTTTAATTTTCAGGTACGCTTAAGTCGACGCGCAAATACATTCTAATTGAGAACAATAGAAGACAAATGAAAAACCACTAAACGTGTACAAGTTAAAATTTAAGAATAGTTCGGATTAGCGCACCCACCTTTCGACGCCCTTAATTGTTTTTACAACGATTGTTTTTATACTACCTGATGTTGTTTTCTACGATTTTCGATCGATATTTATTAGTTAAGTTTCCGTATGAAAAGAAACTAAAAGGATAAGAATCTGAACATACAAGTATATGTCCAATTTAGAATATGAAGTCTCATAATCGTCAGGTGCACTGTTACTTTCGACCATTAAAATAAAATATATAACAATGAAGGCCAAGCAAAATCGAATATTATTGCTTAGTTATCTAGAGATTTCGGTGTCGAAACTCGATGAATGACTCAATGTAATTTAAAATATTTTATTTACTACTATTGACTGCTTTTCTTGTATTGAAAGCCATGAACGCCTCTAGATATTAAGATTTGAATGTGTAATCTACTGTTGTTGTAACATTGTATGTGCATAAAATATTGATAATTATGATTATTACATCATGTTGCAAATTTAATTAAAAGACGCGCTGTACCGTGTAAGTTAATGAAACTCATTTTTTTATCCAAATATTTTTTTGTGTTCGATCTGTTTATTACATTTCCATTCATCGTCCCTTTCTCAATTGCCGCTTCCGACCTTTTGTCGTATTGAACGATCATACTTATCTTTCAAAAGCGAACATTCTCCATTATTTTCAGCTTCATTGCATGAGCTAAACATGAACAAGAGCTCTAGATCTAAAGTATTAAACTGAATACACGCTGCAATGAAAATTTTGTCAAATGCCAGTCATTACAGTTAGAAGAGGGATGATTTTAACTAGGTATAAAAAGTATGTGCACCCTTCTAATGCTCCATTAGTTTAGAAGGGACATCACTAGTTTTATATCCGTCAATATAACTTGGAAATGAGAAAAGAATCGACACTTTTAGTGATACATGAATCTGAATAATTTTAAGTATAGTTAAGCGAATGTTTGTTATATTACAAAGCTATTGAAATTAATTAAAAAAGTATTTTCATAAATTGATGTTGTAATGGTTGTACGTCCATTTTACAATTTATAATTATTGTACGTGTTAAAATTTGTATGCATTTCTTATATAACGTGATTTAAATGTTTCACCGTTCATGTAAATAACTACGGGAGCAATGTCTATTACACTTTAAATTTCTTGTGCATTTCCGTTTGATCTGCTTTTGTGGATGGTATACCTACAATACAAATTGTATGTATGGCCTTAAATAAAATTTTCTACTACATTGGTCGTTTTTTTAAGCCTTACACAACGGTTAGAGCCTGTCCAGAAAGCGCGATTTACGCGCGTGTCCACTCGCGCGTTTTGTTTTGTATTGCGTCCAGATGCAGCGAAATCACGCGCGCGTGTGATGAGACGGATTTGGTCAGTTATAAACATGGACTTGGATACAGCGGTTGTGTTGTGGCTTGCATACCGTCGATGGAGACGTCGTAAACGAAGAGAAAGTCGACGATTTAACGTGCATCCCATTCTACGTGACAGAATGACGCATAGTATGTTTATAACTTTATACCCAAAACTCAGAGAATATAGTGAAAAGTTTTTCAACTACTTTCGGATGTCAGTAGCATCGTTTGATGATTTACTAGAAATGATCAAAGAAGATTTGACTCCATGTCAAAATTATGTGGTACGGGATACTGTTTCTGCAGAAGAAAAACTCGTGATTACTTTGAGGTAATATTTTTTATTGCTTTAATAATTATAAACAAAGACCCAATTAACAAAAATAAAGAATTTGAACAAAATTAACAAAAACTATGAATCATTATTATATAATACGAGTATAGGTGGGTACTTAACATTTATTTTAATTATCGTATAGTTCCATTAATTCAGATTCATTGGAATCTTGTGTAGATGCCGGTGATGGGTTTTTGTAGCTAGACGTCGTTGGTGGTCGTGACGCAGTGCAATAACCTCGATTGTAAGTCGAAAAGGTTGCAGATGGAAACGAAGATGTTGAAGGGTCTGTTGCGGTATATCCTGTTTCTCCATAATAATCTCTCTGTCCACGTTGTGTCATTTCTGTTTGGTAATGATATTGTGTCGAAGGTTGGTAGTCGGAACGAGCAGCTGCAGATTTAAGACACAGAGCTTGATGAGCTTGAAGTACTTTCATTAATTCAATTTTTGTTTGAAGTCTGTTTTCCTCTGGTACTTTAACAAGCTCTTTGTGTAAGGACAAACAAAATAGTTTGTCATCATCTGACTCCACTTGGTTTGATGTCTGTGGCTGATTTCCAGATGCTAAATTTGTTTTTATGATGGAGAGAAATTCTTCGTCGGCCGCATTTAGTTTTTTCTTCTTTTTCGTCTGACTACGTGGAGGTCTCATTACATCTTCCCCATCGCCCGAAAACTCCTGTTCTTCAGCTGCAACAGACGCGGTGTTGATGTTGCTCTCAGTTATTTTATTCCGTGTCGATCTTTCAAGAAACATCAAACGTTCAAAATAAATATATTTGGCTTTGCCTGAGGCTCCTGATCCAGACGGTGTGGTTTTCTTCTTCTTCATTTCTCTTACAAAGCCATCACGCAACCCTTTCCACTTCTTCTGCAGTAAAGTACCTGTAAACAATAAAAAGATTGGAATAAAATAATAATTCTTATGTAACTTTCTTTTCAGATATTTGGCTACAGGGTGTTATTTTGCGGACCTGCATTATGCCTACAGATTAGGAAAGTCTACAATTATCGAAATAGTACAGAAAACCTGTTACGTCATATGGAACAAACTGCAAAATATAGTAATGAGAGAACCAACGAAAGCCGAATGGAAAGAAATTTCGAAACAATTTAAAAAATACACAAATTTTCCAAATTGCATCGGCGCCATTGACGGCAAGCATATCCGTATTATAAAACCTAACGATTCTGGATCTCTTTTTTATAACTATAAGAGTTATTTTTCAACTGTTTTGTTGGCCGTATGCGATGCAAATTATTGTTTTATTGCAGTGGACATAGGCGCATATGGAAAAAGTAATGACTCCACAATTTTTAAAGACTCTATTTTATATAAAAAACTTGTCGAGAAAACTTTAGATATCCCAGATCCAAAGCCAATATCGCAAATAGATACAACCCCCTTACCTCATGTCATAGTAGGAGATGAGGCGTTTAGCCTGTCTGAAAATATAATGCGCCCTTATTGCGGTAAATCTCTAACAACCAAAAAAAGAATTTTCAACTATCGCTTATCCAGGGCCCGACGTTACATTGAATGTTGCTTTGGCATCTTGGTAAATAAATGGAGAATATTTCATAGACCGTTGAATGTGGACATAGAATTTGCAGAAAACATCATTAAGGCTTGTTGTGTTCTCCATAACTACGTAAGGTTAAGGGATGGCTACAGGTATGATCACACTCTCTACGAAACATCTCTGATTAATTTGAACACTGAGGCAGTGAGGCCTAATGCGAGATCATTGAATACAAGAGATAGATTTGCTGATTATTTTGTTAACGAAGACAAACTCCCTTGGCAAGATAAAATGATATAGTTTATTAACGTAAAATCTATGCAAGGAATAATATTATTTAATAAAGTATTATTTACTTACCTAAAGTTTTTTTTTTTTCCTCGGAATCACCAGCTTCACAAAAAATTTCTACAATTTCTTCCCAGTTCCTACGCTTAATGATTCTATTAGAATAATCTGACGATTCCATATCCCATATAGCTACCCGTTTCTCAATCTCGTCAATAAAAAGTTCCGTGTCAAAGTTTTCACGCTCCATTTTTAACCGAATACGTCCACTCGCCACGGACACGCGCGTAGTACTGGACGCTGCAATGGCGCCGGAGTATCTCGACTCGCGCGACGCACGCGCGTAAAACGAGCGAGTCGAGAGTCCCGCTCATTGCAAGCGTTTTACGCGCGTGGGAGGTAACGCGCGAGAGTATCTGGACGGAATGTATGTAGCTCTAGTATCTCGAGTACGCGCGATAGCCTACGCGCGAGTGGACACGCGCGTAAATCGCGCTTTCTGGACAGGCTCTTAAGCTTAGTTAAATTGTGTGCCTCTATCTTGAGTTCGCAGTCAGTTGTTGCTTATGGACGCGTAACATGATAGACTCAATACATCGAGTAAACTATAACCAGAAATAGAGGCGAAATGTCATTAATTTTCAAACATCATTACGGTGACTACAAAAATTTTAACAAAAATCATTACGGTGACAACTGCGCTCCGATTGGCCAGCCCGAATTCGAAACAATTGCCGGGTGTCGTCAATTGTTTTACTTAAAATCGACCACTTTAACTAAGCTGTGCTATAATGGACGAAAATTGAAATATTAATATCTAATTACCGATGAAACGTGATTCTGTTTGTTTTGTAATTAGATGTTTTGCTGTTTTTCCCAGACTACCGAATGGAACAACCCCCCATAGTTAGAGATATTATCTTTATTACAATAAATACAGAATATTTTTGGAATATACGGAGACGTACACACAGGTCAGTTGTTGGCGCTGCACTATTTCTGCTTTCTAAGCTGTGTTTCAGCGCGCAAACAAGAGTTGTTATTTAAAAGTGATGTAAGGCCCATTTGCCTGTTGAGTTGCCAGGGATGGAGATGGCCTTTATTTCATCTCTATTTCTGGTTATATGTATACTCGATGACTCAATACAACGATATCTATGTAATGTACTGGACTAGCGTAATCTTTTAAATGATAAAAGACAGTTATAAACATTGACTTACAATTATAGTTATAAATGACAGATGGTTCTGCGCCCCTAGCGGCGACAAGAAGAAGTAAAGTTTTGTTTACAAATATTTTACACGGTCGTTAGCCACAACAAACAATTAAAATTTTAACAGCAATAAAATAAAATTTTACTATCGTTTTAATTAGTGGATTTATGACAATTAGTTTTGTAAACACAACTGTGATTGAAGACAAAGTTTGTATTCATTATTTGAACTTGTCTCACAGTGGAGCTTTTGAGGTAGTAGGAGGTGACACTAGAATTCACTATCCAATAAAAGGAGTTTTAGTCGGCTATAAGTCGTTTTGTCGTTTGTAACACTTCGTAGTAACACGTAGATGTTCGTAGAATCAAATAGGGCAAAGCATTTTAGTTTACCCGCGTTTGGCAACGCTCGGTCTCCAAGAGCTCAAGTTTTGGCGCGCTTATAAATGGGACCACAGACCAAATAAATACTTTCGTGAGTAGGACTGTCATACATATTAATTTAATAAATAAAACATGGTGTATAAACTTTTTATGTGCAAAATATTTACCCTAGTTTCAACACGTAGCGGTAGTAGTATAGTATCACGCTAGTGGTAAGTACGTAACAGTTTTTGACTGATAATAAATATTAAAGATATTAAATATTACAAGACGAGCCTTACCGTACGCCCTCCTCCTCGGACCAGTCTTACTCCATCGGCCGACCTGTGGATTCCTCTTGGCTTCACCGTGGGATGAAATCGAACACGGCTACTGGAGCCCCCCGCCACGACAAGGCGGGAATCCATTCGGGGGTGGCAACTACGCGAGCTAAGCTAAGTTAGTTAGCTTATACCCGAGCTTACCATACCGTGGCGCATTTACACTGGGTCGTCTGCCGCCTTCGGCAGACTACTTTGCTTTATCGAAGGTGACGCACCCAGTCGCTTCGGCCACTTCGGCTGCAAACTACTGTCGCGCGTCGACAGACAACTCACTATTTACACCGGGTAGCTAGGCGCTTTCAACGACTTGGTATAAATGTGCCATTACGAAGTAGTGGGAGTAAAACATTAATAAAAATAATTTACTACTTATAATTGTCGTCGCCCTAAGATTAAAATCTTTGCCGCCTTATTGTTCGTCAAAGAGGTTTTAATTAGGGGAAAAGTGTACGAGATGATCCTTGGAGGTAAGACGGTGCTTTTCAATTGTAGCGAAACTAGTAACGTCATCTAGATATTTTCTTCAGTAAAATGTGGCCCTCAATGTGCCCCTCTCATCAGTCAATTCGTAATAGCGATGTGACTTTTTTGCGGAAAAATACAAAAATTGTGTGAGTTTCATCCAAGGTAAGGTTGATTAAAAGCTTAGGCAACTTCCGTCCTAAGCAATCAATTGCTAAGATTTTTCTGTTGGTGGCTTTGTATAATGCTCTATTTACTTTTTTAATGGCGTGGTAACAGTAGACAGCATACAGGTTATTTTGCCGAACAAAAAATTAAAATAAGTAAATTGGGGCAAGATGATTATGGTTTTGGTGTACAAGATAATCCGTGGGGATCATGTTGTACTGTGTATATTGTTCATGGACCATATTTAATTTCTATGTTTTTCTGAGTACTGAATCCTCTTAATTAAATAGCTTGAAATACGAATAAAATAGTAGAAGACTGGATTTCGTTTACATGATCGATCTCGATTAATAATAAATATTAATGCTTTTTCTTGTTTTAGACCAGGCCGCGTAATTGTAAAAGAAAAACCATTTGTGGTGGGTGGTCGGAAGACTATGATCTAAAGAACTAAAGGCGTAAAAAGTAGGACGCCACATAAATCGGCAAATAAATAGTTAGCACTAGGTACGCGTTATGTCATTAAAAAATGGGCTAAAGATGAAAACAAAGGGTCTGTCAGTTCAATGAAATATTTAGGTGAAAAAAAAAACTGTTTTCATCAGATGTGTTAAACTGGACATTGAGCTCGTAAAGTACATTAAAGAAATAGAGACGAGGATGGATATCAACTTGCCATAAAAACAATATCGCCCACCCTTAGATACCTGTAAGATATAAATTAATTAGGATTATTTGTTCTCGAAGTTCCGTAACTGTTGTTTCATATACCTACATTACATAAGTGAGGACTTTGTTAAGTCTAAAAAGTTGTTGTTTTCGTTTGTTTCTACCAAAACCTAGAAATTTTCCTAAATATAGATCCCCTGGATCATCTCGCCCATACCCTTAGGATCATCTTGGACACCCGGTATCTAAGACGATCCTTTAGTAGGGTTTTAAAAATATTCCAATGAAATAATGAAAGATTAAAAAATAAAACGTTTTTAGTAAGACAACATGTAAATAGATACATTTTCTATCATTCAACGCTTTTACATCTGCTTTAAGCTGAATATCTTTTAAGCTACCACCATTCTCCCTTAAGGGGACCATCTGGTACACCTTTCCCCTAAGCTTATTGTTAAATATTATTATTATTAAATATTTGCAACTATTCTGCCTTTTTTTAACATTATTACTAGTTGTGATTGTACTTCTCATGCTGAATAGAAATTTATATTATTCTTTTAATTTTACATGGTTGAGATAAAAAATATAGATTTTATTGTTATTTAATAATAATTATAAAGTTAACTATAGTTAACATATACATTTACAGTATAATTCAGAAGAAACCATTCGTATATCATCAATAGTTGCGAAGGTTCAGTAAAGTCAATTTTTACTTGGCGGCCATCTTGGTTTCGCCATATTGGAAAATTTTTGGTTCTGGTAGAACCATAAATTCTTCTTGAATGCTTTGGATTTTTCTGGTATTCAATATTCCCAGTCAAATACAATACTTGTACATTTATTTAAAACACCTCGATTCGTTCTAGGAGAACAATGATGTTGGACGGTGGAAAATGTATGGCGGCCATGTTGGAAAATGACGAAATCGAAAAACCACAGACACAATTTCTTATTATAGGGCGTTATACACAGTGCCAAATTTCAGCACGATCGGTAATTTTTTTTGGCCGTTATATTGAATTGACCATTTTGAAAAAATAAATTAGACAGCGATTTGGCTGCTATTGTCCTCTCGGCCATTAGTCTGAACATTAAAAATGATAGGTAAATACCTGTCTCTAGTAATTACGGAGATATACTCCCATGAAATTTATATGGCGGCCATTTTGTTTTGCGAATTTTAATTTTTTTTTATTCCTGATAGAAACTGCCCAGGGTGTGGAGCAACATTTGTTTGGAGACCTTGGGGTTAAAAAGTATACTTCGCCCATGCAGCTGGGGTCCTACCTGATGCAGACCAGTTTTGGAAGGTTTTGGTACTTTCTGATACTCACCAAATCCACCCAACCATTATTCGCTTACATCACTCCTATACATCCGCTCTTCTTCTGGGAGAAAAATGAAGTAAAAAAAACGAAAATTCACTTGTATGGTGGCCATTTTGGAAAATGGCGGTATCCAAATTCGCTCGTAGAAACGTACTATGAGCTTCCATACATGACCGGATGTCAAATTTCAGTCGGATCGGAGCACTTTTATTTCAGGCCGCCATTTTCATTCCGTCATCTTAATTTTTTTTACCTGCAGTCGGCTCGTACTATTCTGTACGACATTTGTTTGAGCGCCGCTCATCTATCTCCAATATTCGCCGACATATGGGCCTCCAAACATAGTAAACGGTAGAAAATGTATGGCGGCCATGTTGAAAAATGGCGGAATCTAAAATTTGACCACATATTCGTATTACGAGCTCCCAAACATGAAAGAATATAAAATTTCAGGTGGATCAGAGCACCTTTTTGTCGTCGGGCCGCCATCTTGAATCGGTCATTTTGAAAAATCATTTCGACAGCCAGTTAGGTCCTATGGCCCACTACAATATTAGTTTGAAGGTAATCTACCTATCTCCAATAGTTTACGAGATACGGGCCCCCAAAATTTGTATGGCGGCCATTTTGTTTTTCGAATATTGAATTTTTTTCACTCCCTGTAGAAACTGCCCAGGGTGTGGATGAACATTTGTTTGGAGACTTTGAGCCAAGATGCATACTGTGGTCGGGCAGCTGGGGTCCTACCTGATGCGGAGCACTTTCGAAGATTTCGTTACCTTATGATACTCAGTAAACACGTCCGACCATAATTACCTTACATCATATTTACCCTCCCACCCTCCATCTGAGAGAAAAACGACGCCAAAAGGCAGAAAAGTCGGAATTGGCAGAATTGAAATTTCAACCGGAGTTTCATATTGCAGGACCCCAACATACCAATTACTTTAATACACGGCAGCATGCCAAATTTGAGCCGGATCGGACCACCTTTTTTTGGGGCCCCCACTTTGAGTCGGCCATTTTGAAAATTTTTTACCGGCAGTTGACCCCCTTCGCCCTCTATGACATTTGGTCGAGGACCCCCCGTCCATATCCAATACTCCCCGAGCTATAGGACTCTGAAATTTGTACGGTGGCCATCTTGTTTATTCGAATTTCAAATTTTTTTCACTTCCGGTAGAAACTGACCAAGATGGCGGCCATTTTTAGTTTGACGACCCTGTCTGTAGTTGTTATACTTTACCCGCGCAGCCGGGGTCCCACCTGATGCAGTCCACTTCTCGAAGATTTCGGATTTTTCTGGTACTCACCGGAGCCATCGGATCACGACTCCCGTACATCATTTTTACCCACCGCGACTCTTTCTAGGAGAACAATATTATCTAAATGACTGGATCTGTCAGTGGTAATCGAGCTATATATAGTACGAGCCCTCCTGTACCCCACCTACGATGGGGTCGGGCTCGGCCTGCGGCGCGAGGTCCGGTTCAGTTTATGGGGTGTGCTCAAGCTCCTCGATGGCACAGTAGTTAGTACTAGGGGTGCTTGATGAGGAGTTCGATTCTCGATTTGGGAACCCGCCATACAAATTTCAAAACCCCCTGCTTTGAAATTTGTGTGGCGGCCATCTTATTTATTTGAATTTCGAACATTTTTTACTTCCCACGGAAATTGACCAGGTTGTACCTCATAAAAGTGCACAAATACTCCCCCGTATATTATAGTTTTTGCAGGCCATTGATCACTCTTTCATATTTTCCATATTCAGGTCCTCTCATATTTGATTCTTTGCTTTGGAGCCTATCCGCGTACAATGGTATAAATATTTTTTTTCCACCATATCGAGAAGTATGCTTTCTATTTCTATCAGTGAGTAAGGACTTGTAGCTTTATATATAATATATATAATAATAATAATATTTTTAAGCAAATTGCTTTACTTTTTATGCAAACATGACAAATTAGGCAAAAAGGACGCAATAGAACAGTTAGATTGGTACCATTGATAATGTAGGTAGTGTCGCAGTGTGGCAAAGATTACTCACACAATCCTCTGTCTTATATAGACACATTCATTACTAAATCTATGGACACATTTTATAAAATAAAGTGAACCTTCATCACATCATCACAAAAACGTTACCCGCGAAGTAAGTAGGTCAATGCCCGCGATCGCAAGCGTTAAAAGAAAATTTTTGTACTAGCAACATTGTATGTGCGAACATTTTTTTTTAAATTTATTGAGCATTGGCTACGAGGCCACCAGCTTAAATCTACAACAAAAGAAATAAATGAATTAACTAAACTTAAACACTACAACGTAATAATTAATAATAAAAAAGAAAGTATTTACAACGGATCAGAAGTATTACGTAAGTACGTACATGTGTTTCATTTCGTTTTTTTTCGTGCATACGTACGTACAATGAGAAGCCGTATTGAAAATTGCCGGTTATCGCGTCATTGGAAACTTACTTCGCTATGTCTCTGTCTAAACAACATAAACTACGATGTGCTTTACAAATAAGAGCATTGCCGTTCGCCCCCCCCCCCATCACTATTGACATTTCGCTTTTTAGTTTTAACAGCAGATTTTTTTCTATTGGCTATTCGAATAATTCGAACTAATTCGAAGTTAGCGTTAGAGGCTGGGTGGTGGCTGGAGAACAGTATTTTTATCAGCAGTGAGGGGGGATGTGTGGACGTTTCAAGACGCACGTCGGCATTAATTCTTCTGATTCAGTGTATTTTCACTTTCACTTATGTGATTCACAGTTGTTTGATAAATGAGTGTAAAACCGCTGGACAGAGTACAAACAATCACTTTGTAATAGTAGCACCATGGCGACCCTCGTCTTCGAAATGGCTTCCAAAAATTACTGTGTTGTGTTTATAATTTTCGCGTTAGCGATAGTTCAAGCAGTCGGTTACGACACTGAACTGTATGGAACAAAGCCTTGCGACAGCAGTGCATGTTTTGAAGCGCTTCACGGTTCGCTTGGGGATTGTTCGTGCAATGTAGATACGATTGACTACTTCAACAATGTTAAGATCTTTCCCCGTATTCAGAGTATAGTGAGCAAGGACTACTTTCGTTTCTACAAGGTGAATTTGAAAAAGGAATGCCCTTTCTGGGCCGACGATAGCAGGTGTGCAATGAAATATTGTCATATAAAAACTTGTTCGAAAGAGAGTGTTCCTGGGTACGCAAATGGATACGACGATGAGCACATTGACGAGGCTCCTGTTACAAAATACAGTAAGGAGGCTCAGCAATCTGGTTGCAATACAGATGCAGACCACGACCCAGAGTTAGGTTACTTGAATATGACCATCAGTGCAGCCAGTCAATTTGAGATTGCTAAATGGAAAGCACATGATGATGCACTTGAGAAATTCTGTGATTATGATGAAAGAGATGCTGATGCTGAGTATGTAGACTTGTCATTGAATCCTGAAAGGTATACTGGCTATAAAGGCCCATCTGCGCATAGGATCTGGAGAAGCATTTACCAGGAGAACTGCTTCCGGCCCAAGTCTAATCCTTATGAATCTTTCCCTTATGTATTAAGTACTGACTTAAGTAACATGTGTTTGGAAAAGAGAGTATTTTACAGAGCTGTTTCAGGTATGCACACCAGTATTAACATTCATCTGTGCTCAAAGTATTTACTTAATGAAAAAGGGGCTGGATTTGCTGTCCCACCAGATGGTGTGTGGGGGCCTAATTTGGAGGAATTCCAGAACAGATTTGACCCATCACAGACCAAGGGCGAGAGTTTCAACTGGTTGAAAAATTTATACTTTGTTTATTTGCTACAAATGCGGGCACTGGCGAAAGCAGGGCCTTATTTGGAAAGAGAGGAATATTTTACTGGAAATCCTACAGAGGATGAGGAAACTAGACAGGCAATTCGGAACATGCTGGGTCTGATTTACACTTTCCCAGATCATTTCAACGAATCTTCCATGTTCATTGGAGGCAGTCAAGATGCTACGTTAAAAAATGAGTTTAGAGAGCATTTTAGAAATATTTCCCGTATTATGGATTGCGTTGGATGTGACAAATGCAAACTTTGGGGTAAACTGCAGACTCAAGGTCTTGGAACTGCGTTGAAAATATTGTTCTCCGGACAATGGGATTCAGAAGGTGATCCAGCACAAGGAAAGTTGGGATTGAGACACAAGAATAAACGCCTTCAAAGAACAGAGATTGTGGCTTTATTTAATGCTTTTGCAAGATTATCAAACAGTATAAGAGAATTGGAGAACTTCCGAATCATGCTCAGGTGAGAATTAATAGATTTTATGTCCTATTTAATTACATTGTTTTTACTTGACTTGGCTAATTTTTAATGTTAATTGAGTGTGCTTGTTTTTAATTTACATTTTAATGAAGTGTGTAATGTGCATTTTGTTTGGTGTAGGTACAAGTAGATTCTATGCCTTGGATATTACGATATTAAGACATACATAGCTCCAATGCATCTACTAGTGATGTCTTTAAGCAGTTATTTAAAATTGTAAATCAAACGAAGAAGAAGAGAAGTGATAATCTAATTGTGAAGATTCACAATTAGATTATCACTTTTAGGGGTGTTTTTCAGAATATTTCGCAACCTAATTTTGGTGGCAATTTTTGTAAAATACTAACAACCTCACAGGACTATGTTACGAATATCTTAAACAACAATTTTTGTTCCTTGACTATTAAAAATTCATCAGATTTTTACTTTAAAAAATAAAAATATTTAAATAGGTTACTCTAAACAGTGCTTACTCTGTGCAGTAGCAAGAGGCAAAGAAGGGAGGCATTGCTAAACAACTTACTAATACAGATCTAAAATGAGTCCAACAAAGACTTAAAAGTTTATTTTTCAAATTCAAATTCAAAATAATCTTTATTTCAAGTGTAATAATACCCTTGAAATCGTCACAATGGTTAAACTCTACTGCTCATTTGTAAGGCAGATTTCCCTGAGAAGAATGAGCAAGAAACTCTAGGGGTTGCTCTTTGTAAATAACATTTGTACACAATCAACATTTACAATATGTATTTTTTTTTTATTTGAAACATCAGAGATCGAGACTACCTCCATGAGCTAAACGGGTTACTACCACGGATTTTTGTCATCCAAGTACACAGAAGTTGTATAAGTTTTGGTAAATGTATTATGATTTGTAAAAGGTCTTGGAACAAAAGTTGTTGTTTATGATGTTAGTACTTTAATCCTACGAGGTTGCTAGTATTTTACCAAGAACCTTGTGTAAGTATTCGAGTCAATTATTATGTAATATTAGGTTATACATTCTCCGTCTGACAACCATCCAAAACAATTACTTTCAAATAACTAATACTCAACTAAATTTAAATGTAAAACTTTACATAGTCTTTTAATTTATTTATTACTTATTTGACAGTAATTGTTACAGACGGATGTCATACGGAGAATTTAACTAGGCCCCGTGAATATTACCCTTAGACAATTGTTACTAAAAAATTTTTTCAACTTCATATAAATTATCAAATTAAACTTAAAAGACTTAGCAATAAGTTCTATAAATAAATTAGTAATGTTAATAAGAACTGAGTCCCAATCTGCCATGCTTACAATAACAATAGTAAGTCTATATATATTTTAAACATAGTTACTGTTAATATTGTAAGCACAGCAATGATATAGGATTTTACGGAACCTAGGATTGTTCTCCTCCTAATGGTAATGTTTGCTAATAAGAATTCTTATGAAGTATCTGCCTACGAAGTAATTACAGTTTGTTAAAGAAAGGTGGGTACTAAAACTTACTGGAAATGCTTTTTACTCAACGGTAATTACTTGTGATGGTTTATTGCCAATTTGCCTTTATGGCTTTCAGTCACAAGGCTATTAGTAGTGGTTTTAATACCTGTCTTGCAAATATTGGTTTGATTTTAATTAATAACTGGTGGCCAGTCAAAAACATGGTCGCATTAAATTTTACTTATATTGAAATGAGAAATATTTAATAAACTATGTTAGGTTTTAATTAACAAACATTGTCAATTACACAAAACACTATTTTAATAGCAGGCAGGAAAAGGGCAATCGTATATTAAATACATTATTGTCTTTTCCTCCTTTAAAGGAAAAAATATAGAAGCATGCCAAAAAATTAATAAGAAAACATCAAAATCTGAAAATATGATCAAAACTATTAGTAACACTCCCTAAACGGTGTTATTATAATAATAAGTTACTATTTCATCGTTAAAAGACAATAGCAGTACAATCACCTTCATTGTACTTAGTTGCGCAAACGTATGTAACTTGCATTTCCCGCATCGCATCGTAGCGATACGATATACTTATTCGTTTTTACTTCCTTCAATTGTCTCTAGGCGGGCGCACACTATCGAGTCGAAATATTAATATTGAACTAAAAATTAGATCTCTCTTTCGTTGATTATAAATGAAACAAAGATCCAAAAGGCGGCCGGTCGCTTAGTCTATAATTTCCGGGGACTTTTGGAGTCCATATCCCAATATGTGGATGGTTGTTCATCAGACTCATTACAAGACAAGCGCGTCCTACCAGTAATTTTTATCGTTTAGTAAATATAGTATACAAGTCCTTAGTTCCTAACACGAAATAAATGAACAAGACCACCTCCAGTCTACCAAACGCAGTATGATTGCATTTGGTAGACTAGAGGTGGTTTTGTGCTGCTTATGTTTGTAATTCCCAGCTATGTCAACGTCGATTGTTTAGGCAAACCTGCTTACGCCTTATAACGACTGATAGTAAATATGACAAATTGACTGTGTCACGTTCTTGTTGATAAGGCTTTTAAATATGGTAACATGGACTATATTTTAGCTCTGAAAGATTTTTGAAGGCAATAGATGAAGATACATGTGGGAGGCATATCTCGAGATCGATGGTCTGTCATCGTAATTCGTGTTCGTGAAAAATGTTAGTTCTTAACTTACACACCTGAACAATATAGTATTCTTGCATTTGAATCGAAGGTAAACAGATGGTTTTGTGTAAACAGCAACTATCGTAAAACATGACGTCTCGATTTTGTTGTCACCATGCAAATAATACGTAATATATCGACACCAGAAGTATCAATTAATGTAAGGGGCAAACCACGGTTTTTTCATTAGAGCCAAAAACCGATTTTATTTTTTTAAATCTCTATAACTTTTTACTGTCTGCTTCAATTTTGATTGTGTCGAGAGCAAAGTTTCTTAGAATTTCCTCTTCTTTCATGCTATAAACGAAAGATTTAGGAATGCCCAGTTATTTATAATATAGCATGTCCCTTACGTTAAAAAAAAAAATTTACTTACGAAAGTCTTACGTTACTAATATTTCGTGTGTAAACCGTCGAGCTTAGTGTAAACAGGAAGAGAAATAGAAAATTATACGTAATGCTATTTTAAAGGATCTTTTACAATAGAATTACGTGTAATTTTCTATTTCTCTTCATGCTTACACTATGCTCGACGGTTTACACATAAAATATTAGTAACGCAAGGCACAACTAAACATCTTTTTTTAATGTAAGGGACATGCTATATTTTAAACCACTGGGCATTCCTAAATTTTAATAATACCAATCGATAGAGCGGGAACTTCCGAATTCAATGATATATGTAACTCATTTTCGACAAAATATGCCTTACGTTAATTGATGCTTCTGGTATCGATATGTAGTTAGTAACTTTTTAAATGGTTCTTGTTTTTCGAAAGCTTACATTCTTGAGTTCTCGAATTCTTCAAAGTCTGTTTATGCGAGTAATGTACATACGACTCGTGTACGAAGGATAATTTGAAATAATAATGCAATATTGACAACAAACAAATAGAAATATGTGAGACGTTTGGCCTGTCACGTAGCGACCGTAGCGTGGGTAGAGGCATTATTACGTGGTTCTGAGTCATTTTGGACACTCCTGATAAATACACAACAGTACAACAGGCTTATTAAAACTGACGTGGTCTTTTACGCCAATAGCATTTAGAGAATATAATATCTTATCACACTTATTAAATAATCCTATCAAGGAATATGAAAGTTTTATGATGGGAAAAGGGATTTGTTTTTTCGATAATGGTTGCTTTAGCGTGTTATGCAGGTGAATAAACACCTATTTGTGATACACGTGTTCTGTTCGTGAGCCGGACACGTAGACCGTGCTATAGACACGTACATACGTACGGATGTAATCTGGTAGCAGTATGCCATTGTAATTGATTATTTCCTTCGAGGTAACCGCAGATAGTATCCTTAAAGCAGTCACACACCGCGACTTTTAGGGTTGAAACACAAAACTGCGATGCGACGTCGTATCGCAGAAATCTACGACTCGCAAGAATTTGCAAATAGCTTCGCATCGCGCGTTCCTGGGATGTTAATCTTCTTTGTGTTTTTTTCCTATATTTTCTCATCAATAACAGCAATGCAACACTCTTTTTAGGAACCCTGTCGCTACCTAGCTTGAATAGTACTTTCAGTACGATTGACGATCGTCTAAGCAATGATCACCCGAACAGTGACAGTGAGTAGCTTTGCTGCACGAAATCGCATCGTTGCAATTCGCGTCGCAGTATTCGACGTTGCGAATTTGCATCGCGCCCATTCGCAGTTTTGTGTCTCGATCCTTTGCAGTGATACAAACACGCGTTTGTGAAACGAGTGATTGCATCGCGATACTAGCGATTAATAAGCGGTCCTCTTATGTTGAATCATTAAAAAAGATTGTGCCGCTGCTTACGCGTCGATACTTAGCTCGAATTAAAGTTTTTCCCGTACTAATCCGGATCATTTTGCTTAGGTCGACCGCCATTACAGGATTCTTTTACTGGATTAGCAATGGGGCAATAGAGCAGTGCTTTTTTCAAATCTAACAATAGAAACGTGTTTTTGCTGGTAGAGCTACCTGTTCCTGCAAAATCTGCCCAAGTACATATCACCGCCGTACTTTTTTTCTAATGCAAATAAGCACTGGTGTGTCCCAGATTCAATAGTAGTTAGAGTCGTCGCAGACTTAAGATCTTATGTCCCAATGATGACAACGCTTTTGTGATGATAAGAATCGATACTAACTCATCTCGAATGCAAATTTTTCCCGAACTAATACGGTTAATTTTCAAATTAAATCATTTATAGTGTACGCACGTCTTTAAGGTCTTATTTAACATTGTTGTGCCAGTACGTATTGCCAATTTGACGGCATACAATTTACATAATTAAATTAATTTGACAGTATATTATTAAATTTTAATTAGAAAATGTCAAATTTTCTGGTTTTATTACAATTTATTTTTTTACAAACGAAATTATAGCCATTTGAAAAATGTATATCGTGTTATGTATATAGTATACGTGTTCTATTTAGTTCAGTTGATATAAAAAAAAAATTGGTATATGTAAAGTACCTATTCAATACATCGGTTTTCTTGTAAAATTTCGAGTTTTTTTTAATCGTGAAAATTCTTGGGAATCGTGTTTTCACGCCATATAGTAATAAGTGTATTATCTTCAATTTGACTATATATTTTTTTCCAAAGCGGTTGATTGAACACTTTTACTGTTATGCAGAATCAACCAAAGCCATTTGAGATTGTACTTCATTCATCGTCATCTCACCTTTTGAACACCCTGTTTCTGATTCCTGGCCACTTTGTTGAATCGTTCTCGAATTTCTTCTTCCTCCCACTAAGTATCGATACTTTTTCGTGTCTCTAATCCCGACTGAATTGTAACAGGCGCGCTGCTAAAAGTCACCACGTGTAAGCCGCTCTTATCGCAACAAGATGAAACTATGTTAATACGTGCTTATTGGTATATTTCCAATGACCCTTTTTCAATTACAATGTTTATTGTTATCGTTAATCTACCCTCTTTCGTTTTTATCTTTCCTTATAAACAAGGTTATAAAATTTGCAGTCAAGAAACACGATAAAAGTAAAATGTATTACTTTTTCTTGTTTTGATAAATAACAAAGGAGTTCCCTGGTGATAAGACAGTTTTATAGCAAGATATAAAGTTGAGGATGTGTATGTATAAATTGTATAAACAAAAATAAGTTTTAAACCGAGATTAACGAATTAATATTTTTTCCCGATATATAAGAATATATCAGGAAAAAATATTAATTAAAATATACTCCTTAATACGAGCAGTTACGATGCAGTAAATTATATCGGATAGTGATTATATTATAAAGTATAATGAAACTTGTATCCTAAAGTTAATATATTTTTTTTATGTTATACAAAATATGAAATAAGACAAACTTTCCGGTTTTATAACGTTGTGCTTTTTCATGCGTCAAAAATGTAACTGTTCTAATTTAAATCCAAGGTACAGAGAACAACACACCAGCTATACATTCATGTTCCAATACTGAACAACCTGAACAAGTTCCGTCAATGTTAAGCTTGATATGCTGCCGTCTGTACATTAAATTCCAAGTATTTTATTTACATGCATACACTCCACACCCTTTTCCCGTTAGGGTAGACTGTGACCATAGACTTACACTTACCACAACGTGACAGACATCTTTCACCTCATGAACATGCGTCAATGCTCATACTCAATACAAGCTAGTCGTTTAAGTACTCTTGATCTGGATCTTTCTTTAAGAAGTCCTAAAATTTTTCTATAAATAATCTTATAGAAGGTTATTGACATGATACTGTTATATGATAACAGCACAATGTTATAATAACATTGTATCCTTCGATATGGCGATGGAATTGCATGATTTAATTCCGCTTTTCCATCATCGGGGGACTAGACGCAGACTGGGGTTCCACCCCTATTTTGTGGATATTCCAAGGATTCGCACGAAGCGGTTCGATTTCACATTTATATGGCGAATGGCTAAGGAGTCGAATTCCATGCTTGCAGACTTGTTCCCTGTACGATGTAACTTGGGCCTTTTCAAGGCGAGAGTGAATAGGCATTTTTTATGTGTGCATACTACATCGTCGACCTCGTCGTCACTTTCATAAAAAAGAACACAAATGTATATTAAATATCTGTTGCTCAAGATGTTCGTACGTGCTTAGGCACTTCTTTCATTTTTCGATTTATGTCAATGTAATTTTCCAATGAACCAATTCAATAGAAAGGCAAATTTAATCTAGATCAGAAAGCAAAAAACATTTTTTAATAATATTATTAAATTTGACCAAAATTCGATTCACAACCGATATTAAGTTATATATAGTTTTTGCCTTCGATTTTGGGCATTGATTGGTTTTAACCCGCTTTAAGCCGGCATTAATAAAGCGCCGGGTTAAAACCCGGGCGCTTGCCCGTCTCTGTTCGTATCTATTAGGTTTCGCGGCTTATTAACAAATAACATACGAGACAGATGCATTGAAGTTAGGTTTAGTTTTCGTTTCCTCAGATTGACGCCACCAAGACTGTTTTTACTGAAAGTTACACATTTCAACAAAAAACAATGCAACACAATAAAATATACTAGGAATAAAAAACGAATTAACATTTTATTACAACGAAATTACATTTCATATATGTTTTGTAATTAAAAAACATGTGATGATTATTAAATAATTACTGAATATAGGTAATTAAGATACACAAGTGTACGATATTTTTGATCATATAAGGTTATGTTGTGAAAAACATAGTGTTCTATAATTTACGTATATGTTAATGGCAAACGAATCGTCGAAGACCGAGTTGCCTGACACGTACAAAATCAATCATAATTGTTCTTTTAAAAGTAGTATATTATTTTCTAAGCTAAAAGTAATAAAGCCAATATTTCCACACAGCTCACAGAAAGAGTCGAAACCTCGACAAAATCTCTTCGGGGTTCAAGACACGACGCAAACCAAGGATCATTGTTCTTCGGGAAGCACAAAACCGGGCATATGGAGTTAACTACCACAATATAGACAATATAGTACCTAATTAGGGTCCGGATTGAATAAATTATTGTAAATTACAAACTTTGTTGTAATCGTTTTGACGTTCGTTACACGTGCAAAGATCTCTTTTAATGCTATACGTTAAAGTCGCAAATACATTGTAATGTAATCAAGGACCTGTAGCGCTAGTACAACAAAATGCGCGATAGCGACTTAGAGGCGCGAGATGGGAGAATAGCAGTATCTCGCCGTTTCTGTTACTATTTATTTTTATATAGAAGAGCGAGATATTGCTATTCTCTATGCGGTAGTAGCAGTATCTCGCGTTTTATGTCGCTATTCTGCAAGTTGCGCCCTGTCGTACAAGCCCTACTTACTGGTCATTATTAAGAACTGATATGTCAGGTCATGTTTTGCTTTAATTGGTGGCTGGCGTGCAATTAGCTTTAGCTACGTAGCGTAGCAAGCATAATCTACCAATATACTAATGAACAGTGATAACCTAGTGCGGATAACATTTGCCATCGAATCTTGCGCAGTTTCATTTACTTATTGTCACTTGAGTGCTTTGATGGTGAAGGAAAATATCATTGTTTTTCCACAACCCCCGTTGTGTCAGTGATGGATTACGTCCTTGAATATTCTTTAGAGTGCTGCTGATGATATTACTTAAAATCAAAAAGTTACACTCGATTTGTGACTTACAAGGTATTAAATTTCCAAACTTGGTTTGCCGTCTTTGAAAATGTTGACGCACCAGGTTTTTAAATACAATTTTATGTAATACTTTTTGAGATTTATTGTTTTAATTATGGCTTGATTCGGCATAATGAAAACACCGAGGTATTGTTTGTTACATAGAAATAGTTATTTATTATGTCTTTTTACGCCAATACTAACGTTAGGACAGTAAAACAAAATCCTAGTTATGTTATAGATAATTGGCAACGAATTTTGTCATACACATCACAATTGTTTGTTTTATTTATTAAAATCCAGTGAACTTTGAGCTTAGTTATAGCTGCTATATTAACAGATAGAGAAACTTAGTAAATTGCGTGACATTCAAAACCATGTATATCATAAAATAATAACGTTTAATGTTATTAAATAACCGACCTACAGTATTATTAATTGAACAACTCAATACAATTTCTTTTTTTTTGTCACAAATTACAGCAATACCGAACAGTGTCACGCAAGTTACAATTCTATACAGGGTCATTTGTAAAATACCAATGACCTTCCAAGACTATATTATCACTTAATAACCCATCAGGTTTTACCTTTCGTACAAAAATAAATATATTCGCTAGATCGCTCTAAATGGTGATAACTCTGTGCAGTAGCGAAAGAAAGCACCTACGAGCAAAATTATTTTCATGAATGACGGACGGGAGGCGTTGCTAAAATACATATACAGAAAGTGTCAGATAGTACAACAAAAACTTAATTATTTTTGGTAAATATTTGTTTTGTAAAATGTCAAGGTACAAAGGTTGTTGCTAGTATTTTACATATAACCCTATTTAAAATCGATATTTTGGATATCGGTTTTAAAAACAAGGTAAATCAAAAATTTCACAATTTATGTTACATTGGATTGGAATAATATTAAGAGTTAAATCAACAAATGCAGACCAAGGAGAATGAAGTTCGAATACTTGGTCTGTTTTACGTCATCTTTGGAATTTCGAACAATAAGACAGGTTGTGTAAATAACTTCGAACAAAGCTGTTTGATTGCATTGCACTAATCTATGAAAACATACGTAACATAAACAATTAACGGGCTTTGCAAACGACGTTCTTTTTACGGTGAAAACTGCAATTGATTGCTGTGAAAACTACAATTTATTGTTGTGAATACTGTACAATTTATTAATTTATTTACAATTTTGTTTCTCTTCTGGTTACGCAGAGAGAAGTTTGTGGTTTAACAGCTCCGTTTAAAATAGTTTTTATTAAAAAAAGAACCGACGTCAAAAGTTTGTGGAATTACATCTATTTGCCAACTTTTGTTGAAATCGGTTAACAGAAAGTGATTTATCCCTTATTTTGCCACTCTTGAAGGTGGAATATTTTCTGCAAATTTGAATGGGACTACAAAAAATACAGTCTAATTTCAGGACCTCCTTTTTTAAAGTCCGTTAGAAAACACGCGTAGTGCTTTAAAGTTATGTTAATTTCTTGATTTACCTTGTAGGTTCTGCTTTAGAATAAGATTGTAAACAATTAGCAAATTAATGGTTTGTTTATTTGTACAAACTTTGAGGTACATTTGTGTATTCTCAAAGATTCCGTTACGGACTTTAGTCAGTGTAAGAATTACTGTTGATGTTAGACTGAATTGAGATTTGGGCGGATTTCATTGATACACAGCGGCACATTTACTGCAACAAAAAAGTGAGAGTGTTAAATAGTAACGTTTATTTAAATAAATAAGAATTAGACATAAAGCAGCATTAAATTGACATAATTTAGTACAACCTTACTCAACTTATATTGAAAAAATACAAAATTAAACAAAACTAATTTTTTTTTAAACAGATTGATAGAATCCAACTTTCATGATTTAAAAAAATCAACTAAACTTTACGAAATTAACAAGAACGCAAAATACAAATCTTAACTAAAAAAAAAAGTTAACACAAATGTATTAACAGGAAAATAAAACAACAAATTGGACGTAAAATAAAAGATATTTTGGGGATTTTGTTAATGATCCGCTAAATGTGCCAGTATGTGTAGTAGGTTGTTGACTCCAGCATTACAAGGTTCTTTTACTGGATCAGCAATAGGGCAACAACCAGTGCTTTTATTCAAATTTAACAATGGATAGTGCACAACAGAAACGTGTTTTTGCTGTTAGAGATACCGTGCAAAATCCGCCTGAGTACATATCTCCACCGTACTTTTCCTACTGCAAAGAAGCACTGATGTGTACCAGATTGAATAGTAATTAGAGTCGTCGCAGACTTAAGGTCTTATGTCGCAATGACGACAACGCATTTGTGATGATAAGAGTCGATACTAACTCATCTCGAATGCAAATTTTTCCCGTACTAAAACGGTTCATTTTGCTTGAGTCGAGCGGGACACTGGCTTTATTTCAGAATTTATTTTTTTTGCAAACGCAATTAAAAGCCATTTGGAAAATGTATATCGTATACCACACGTGTCCTATTTAGTTCAGTCGATATATAAAAAAATATTGTTATATGTAAAGTTCCAATTGAATACAACGGTTTTCTTGTATAATTTCGAGGTAAATTTGTGTTGTTTTCTATTATGAAAATTTTTTGGAATCGTGTTTTCACATCGTATAGTAATCAGTGTATAATGCTCAATTTAACTATATATTTTTTTCAAAGTGATTGATTCCACACTTTCACTGTTATGTGGTGTTTCACCATTTGAAGTTGTATCGACTAAAACCGGCGAACGGCAAAGCAAACGCTAAATTGATCAATATATATTTTGTGATAAGGTATAAATAAGTTTTGAGATGCAGCATAAAATATGCATTGATAAATTTAATGTTTTCTGTCTTCTCGTTCGCTCATATCGCAAAGGTCTGTTTGCTGGTATAAATACTGGAATCCAGTGATACTGACACCATCAGCTAGACCAATGAAAATCAGCCTTTCGACGACTATACAAATGTTATTCAGTGATAACGTTGTCTCATTTAGTACAGGTGCGTTATAGACGTATAGCTTCTATTTATAATTAAAAAGATAAAACTAGAGTTATTCAATTGTGACTTCTTTTGTCTTCTTATAGTATTACCTTTTACTTTAAAACGAACTTATTCCGTTTTGTATTAAAATAAACATAATTTTACTTCGTAGTCACAAGAGCTAATTTCAAATGCATCGAAAATTTCAGACTTTGATGCAGCTCTTGCGCTACACACAAAAAATCTTCAACAAAAATTACTAGACGAATTCTTTCAATTCTTTTTTATATATATATGGATGATTTTGTTTTTTTTTTTAAATAATTGTAAACTTAGTCTGCGGAAAAGAGTGCAATAATTTGTTAATGTTTTATAGCCTTTATAACTGTTACTAATTTTTAATACTATTTAAAGAAACATTGTTCGCATAGCCGGGTACATCTCCCTAGCTACATCTCTATTATACAAATCTTTGTCAACTTTTGTATAGCTTTCTATGTCGTTGTACATTGATTGACTCCAGGCTAAAAATATTCCCTCCTTATCATAACTAACGTAATCAACATAAATCTGGATCATAAGCGGTTTTTTAACTACTTAATTAGTTTCAATATTATCGTTAAGCAAAATCATCGTAATTGACATATTATTTAAAATAAAAAAACACTTTCGGTGCCTAAATCTCGCAAGTTACTAAAATGCAAAATTTGTGACTAGAAGGGCAGAAAATGTGACCTTAAAATTTCACTGACCTTGATTTGACTTACTATGTTGTAATTACAAACAAGGTCATTGTCAAGTCTACACTGCTGGCCTCTGTCCAAAGCAAAATCATCCAAATGAGTTTCTAAATATGTCTACTAATCTATAAATATTTTTCTTTTTATGTTTAGTTACACCCGGAATTGTTTATAAAATTGATAAGTTGCTTGGTAAATAACATACCATGTAGACTAGAGGGTTTAAATTTTTTAAATTCAGTTCCTTGTCAGTCACAAACAAAAATTGTTGTAATGTACTTAATTAAATTGTTTCACAGTTGTGTATATTGTTTATTAATACTAATTTTAGTTATTGCAAAGTATCCCAATTGTTCCCCGAGCTCCTACAGCTTAGCATGAGCACAGGTGTCTTCCCCGAGCACTACTCTAAAACGACGTCACGCTAGTTCTCCCATTATTATAATTACAGATAATAAACTGATGTACATCTGACGTAGGTTATATTTTTAGATGAAATATAATAGTGTTGTCTTAAAGGATCGACTTCAATGTCTGAGTCAATCAAGGTTAAATTATATATTTCTAACTGTAGGTATTAATTTAAAAAAAGTTTTTGAACAGTAAAATTATAGAAGTAAATAAAGACTATTAAATTTAACGTTTCTTTTTGAATAATTCTTTGAGATTAATCGTGGCAGTGGCAACATTATTTTTCGAAACGACATTAGTAGCTGTCAGTTTGTTGTCTTACAGAATCCCAATAAACAGGCCCTAATGTGACCACAGCGACCTTAGTGGTGCCATATTCAAAAAGTTTATATTCTCGCGAGTATTGTTTATCAGCGCTCGTGCTAAGACCGCTATTAAACACGCATTTAAACTATTTTAACAGTTCTTAATATAACTATAGGAGACTTGTTTCAGGTTTAGTATACTTTTTTAGCAATGAGAAGCCATGACAGTCGAATAGAACTGCGATTTTTGAGAACTATTGGGATATAATTTATACGCTTTTAATTTTATGTCACAAGTTAATAATAATGCTTGATTGTAATACCAGCGTAATTATAACATGATTTTTTATACTTTTTTCTTATGTCCACTTTATCTATTCCTTGGGAGAAAAATTTGCCAATATCCAGTTCAATGACATGGACGACTGTTTTCCTTATACTTTCTCAAAAGCTTTGTTAAATTTCTTCAAATGGTTACGTTGGATAAGAAACATTAGTGATATCACAAACTTTCACCTCTTTAGACCAATTTTTAAAACAACTGACGCCTTGCATTGGTCTACATTTGTACAAATATTTTGAGTCGATGACATCGAACTGTTGTTGCTTAAGTACCTCACTGAAATGGTATTTATTTATGAAAAGGTAAAAAAACAATTTGTAATTAAATTTTATGTAATAGGAATAAATTGATATGTATGTTGTAATTTGAAAAATGGTACTGATAGTTGGGATATAATGAGTTATTTTAAAAATAATAATTAAAAGGTAACTTTTTCAGGTTAGTTTTCTTTATCTAATTTCGGTGGCTATTTCGAGTATTTAAGTATTTGAGTATTATAGTGAAATACGAAATAATATTTCAGGATACTACACTCGAATATTAAAATAATACTTCAGGCTAATGTTCTAGAGGATTTAAATAATAAAAATGATTATCGAAATTAGGTGGAGAAGACATCAGTACAGAGTACTAAAAAAATCGACCTCAAAAGTCATTCATTCCCTAGTTTGCCACCATTAGAGGTGGAATATTTTCTTCAAATTTAAATGGGACCACATCTGAAGTACCCTCTTTCCAACAAAAACAACCATCAAAATCGGTTCACAAATGCCGGGAGTTATCGCGTTACATACATAAAAAGAACACAGTCGAATATAGAGAACGTCCTCCTTTCTTTGAAGTCGATTAAAAAACTAACCTGAAAATTACCCTAAAAAGAACTCCTATTGTAATACCTTTGGTGGGATGTAATGTTGTACTGAATATTCTGCCTACCAAAATTATTATAATAATTGTCAAATCATTAAACTTTTTTTGAAGATTCAATAGCTCACATGCACTTTCGTGTGAAACACGCGTGTGGCCGGAGCTCACGTGAACAAGTGAAGGTTGCTCGCCATATCATTCCACACATATTTTTTACAGCCGCTTATCAAAGAAACCTACGGAATGAAATGATTTGTTTTTCAATTGAATTATAATTGGCTATTTGGTTCTCGTCGTAAAGGTTTCGATAACGATCAGTGAATTTGTGCATACAATTTTATTACATGTAATGTTGATAAATTTTATTTACCATTGTTTACATGGGTCGTTGGTAATAAAAAATCAGGATAATGGTACTAGGTGAATTCTACGCTTACGTTTGATCTTCTCCAACAGATTCAGTGTAATTTTTGTTTGTAATCTTTCGTACAATGTCAAGCTTACTTATTCAATCCTATTCGCTTACAATACGACCAATCCAAAGGATCAAAGTTGATGAGTTCTTGTCTGTTGGTGTATAAATCCTAATTGTGTGTTTATAACACAAAAATGTTAATTCTTGACATCAATTCTACGATACATGTAATAAAAGAAGTTTAGGACAGTACACATATAATTTATAAATTGTAATAATTTTTTACATAGTCTGTGATTTTTTGAGGTCTAAACGACGATCATGACAAAATTATTTATTTTTTAGATTTAAATAAATGTTTTAATTTTGATATTTTGTTTTATTTATAAATCTGCATATAACAAGCACGGTGTGGTCAGTTACTAACTACATAATACGAATAATACAGGATCTGTGAGATTGCTTAGTTTTAACATTGTGGTGGATAAGTTGGAAAAGGTATTTAACTTTCAATTAGTAGCACAGTGCATTGTGCATATTTCTAAGCACTATTCATGTTTTCAGGTCCAAGAACGGCACTGAAGTGTTCCCGGAATGCATTATAAAGGTCTAATATTGTTAGTAGACCATACGTTGTAAAATTAATGTAGTCTGCAGCATACAATGGTATTTTTCGTCTCGCATCACAGTACGCTTATAGTCAATATGTTTTTTATATCAATAAAATTACTGAGAGACTTTAATCCAAAGTCAGTAAATAAATAGTTTACGAACTCAATAAATTAATAATATTTCTGGTTTCTTAAAGAGTGGGTGATGCCTCCTCTGAAATTCTTTTTAAAAACAATTGGATTTTGTTCTATATTTTTGATGTGTAACTAGCAATTACTACGGTAGCCTTACGGTACAATATAATTTTGATACTTTTGCCATTTATTTTAAATTATTCCGGGATTTCAGAGGGAGGTCTTGTTCATTCTATATATATTACTTGAAGATTAGGTGACTAAATATAATCTAACGTCTCCGATCTTAGGTCATATCATAACGTACCTATATCACAGAAATTGTATTTTACTTTAATATGAATTTATATGCAAATGTATTTTTGTATGGAAGTTCGGAACGGATAATTCAAATTTTAACCTTACCTGTACGCGGTTTTATGTTCAATTTGGCACGCGTTGCAACACCTGTTTCGGCTCTTTGTTGAGAACATCGCACCACCTTTTACGTTTTATTTTCTACCCTACCTCTACAACAATGTCAATTGTTAGTTTATAGCTACAAAGGATTTACTTAGTGAATCTAAACAAAATAAATTACGTAATTAAGTATCTTACAGTTGCCTGTACATACGTAATTACATTGTAAGTAGGTGTATAAGTTACCTTTGTTCAATATATTGCTCATACAATGCGTCATTGTCTTGAACTTACAAGCAACCTGAATATTATATTGTGTAGTTGTATGACACAAAATGCATAAAAATTAATGTGTTGAACTGCACGTATGTATCTATTATTCAGTTTTCTAATTGTTCTTCAGTAGCCTTTTATTCAAAAAGAAATAAAAGTGTTGATAATAAATAACGATTTTCGTTATTTTATTTCGATATTATTATTATATTCCATTTCGAATAAATTTTTCTTTGTTAAAAATTATTTCATACATTGTTGTATGAACATTTAAATTTATTCGAAATGAAACTATTTTTTCGGATCTTAGTCGCGTTTTTTGTTTCAAATAAACTAACGTTTCTGGCCTTTACAGGTTACTTTATGGATGACTGAGGTGGTAAAGTAAAAATTACACATTTTTTTAGTTGTGTTATCGATAATTCAGCTGTACATCGAGAGCAGTGTTGCCAGTACAATTAATAAGAAAAAGAAGCGTGAACCTAAACTATATTTGATTGTAGGTGTACATAGCACAGATAAACAATTGTGAGCACTTCAAGACCCTTCACTAAGGACGCCCGATGTTAAATATAAATAAAATTGATTGTATTAATCGAAATTAATGCTTTTTTTTGTTTCGAAAAGTCAATTGATCGCGTCAATAAAATGGAAAGTGATATCCAAATGTTCACCACAGTTCCATTGCGTGACGCGCATTCTTAGGGTCGTATTCCAGAACTCTACTCATTCATTGCTCAAGTCAGGATTTGAGTATGATTTCTAGTGCTTTAAATCATACTCAAGTCCTGACTTGAGCATTGAGTAGAGTTCTGGAATACGACCATCAAGATTCCTTTTCCATTAAACCTGTCAGACGATTAAAAGAACGAAAGCATGATAATGGCTTTAAAGTCATAAATTGTTTACATTAATTTGTATTTCACCAGGGATTATTTCAATCAGACCCCACAAGAAGCCAAAGGGGTCGCATGAACTTGGTGGCCTTTCCTTGGTGATGGAGCCCTCGAATGCGCTGGATCGGGGCACGAACTGAATAATGCTTTTTATCACCATGGACATCTTCCTTGCGCTGCTCGCTTGCAACAGACACCCTCACCCTTCACCTGGTCGTGGGTAGTTTGTCCACGCTGCGTATTCCGACATGAAAATATTTTTTAGTAAAGTTTTATTATTTTCTTTTTTATATGGCGAATCGCTATGGAGTGGAATTCCTTGCCTGCAGACATATTCCTTGAACGAACTCGGGCCTTTTGAAGACGAGAGTGAATAAGCATTATTTAGGTGCGCATGCTCCATCGTCGACCTCATCAGATGAAATGGAGGTCAAGCACGGAGGGGCACTTATTATATCATAAAAAAAAATATTTTCTGAGCATATAAATAAAATAACATTCGCTTTATTTGACACACAGAACTACAGAATCCGCCATGTATTTCAGGATAGTAATTTTTTTAAATGATCAATTATAATTTTTGTATAATTTTCTATTATTATAGAAAAAGTCAAAACAAATTAGCTATTGTAATTATATGAATGAAATCAGATTATATGACTGCGCGAATTATGCGAATATGTGGCCCTCACAGTTGTTCTGCTATATCCTGTGATGAAATGAAGCAACAAACAATGATCATTGGGTATATCATAAAAAACAAAATATATATCTTGGTATAAAAAATTGTTATTAAATACAAATTATATTAATACAATCTTTTGCAAAAAAAACGAGCACCTAAGCAAATAAGGTATTTGACCGTCACATGCAGTAAATTTTATTATTTAAGTAACTAGTATCCTCAGAATCATAGAAATGAATATGCAGAAAATGGTTTGAGAAAATTTTTTCTATTAATTTCGATTAATTAAATGAGAAAATGTCGTTTCAGTGTCAGTGGTCAGTAGAATACTACTCGTTAATAAAATTGAAAATAAAAAGATTATTTTTTAATGTAAAAGATAAATGGTAACAATTTAATAATGAGTGTGGCCTCCTCTTGCCAAAATCACAGCTTGTATTCTTCTAGGCATGCTTTCAAGGATATTGCTTATGACCTCTTGTGGAATATGTTCCCATTCAATGAGATTTTTTAGCTCCCTGATGTTTTGTGGTGCTGGTGCTGCTGACCTTAACCGTTGCTTCAGAACATCCAGCATCCCAGGCATGCTCTGTTGGATTAAGGTCGGGACTTCGAGCTGGTCTATGCAAACGCCGGATTCCAACCTCTTGAATATACGTTTCCACATCGCCAGAACGGTGGGCGCGAGCGTTGTCATCCATAAAAATGGAATCTTCTCCAAGAACAGTCAATGCGGTTTGTACCTGAGGAATTAGGATCAGTGTCCATTCAATGTGTCATTTTCGATGAAGACTAACTCCTTACGGTCCATCGAATGAATCGCTGCCCAAAACATAACGGAGCCTCCACCATAAGGGGTGATTTCTTCAAAACACACGTCTGCAAAGCGTTCCCCTGGTCTTCGTAGCACTCGCCGACGACGGTCTTCACCACACAGAGAAATCCTGGCTTCATCAGAGAACAATACTCTTCTCCAGTTCTCTTGAGTCCATAGCATGGTTTCTAGCGAAGGTAAGTCTTAGCAACTTTATGCTCACATGAGGTGGGCGATGCCTGCGTATATTGGCAGCTAGAAGCCTCCTCCTGACTGTCCATGGGCTAATTTGTACTCTCACTTCCTCAAGGTTCTTCTTGAGTTCCACGTATGAAGCTTTGCGATTTCTCAACACCCGGCTTACCAGGAAGCGCTAATCCCGTGGTTCGGTGCAAGGTTTTCTTCCAGAACCTGTCCTTTTATTGACGGAATCGGTCTCTTGATATCATTGCCAAGTCCTCTGAACTATGGAAAGACTCTCAGCCAGCCTCTGGGACACAAAACGTTGCGAACAATTACCTTCAAGCAGCGCTATAATTTTGCTGGCTATTATTGTTTTGTCAACCATTTTACAGACCACGTAGTAATGGTACAATAACTTAAAAAAATAAATTACACAAGATAACTTATCAAAATTTATTTAAAATGATTAATTAGTTAATATGAACTTTCAACAATTCCCGCCGTTTTATGCAGTGAAGAGTAATTTTCTTGTAGACAGGTTTTATCTCTTAAATTTGAATTTGGAACAAATGTTTTTTACAAATGAAGACACTTAACTATCAAGTTAGTGACATTTTGAAAGAATAAAACCTTTTTCGTACTGTAATCATTTCAGGCAGAGAAAAAATCGAAGGTGCCCGTTTTTTTTACAAATGAGTTTAATAATTATGTTACAATTTCACATTTGAGCACTAAATAAATTGCAAAAAAATAACACAAATTAGAACTACTTATAATATACACACATCAAAAGTGTCACTAGGGATCAAGCACGTTTTTGTTTTACAATATTATTATTACTGTAAATCAGGTTTTTTTATTATTAATAATTTATTAAAGTTTTTTCAATTTTATAATTTCTTAAATAAATAAATAATTTAACAAATTTATATAGATTATTTTATTTGATTATCATAGAGTAATTAAATATTTTTAAAACATCCTGGATCCCTATAGATACTTTTGATGTGCGTGATATTATCATATGTATGTATAGCGTGTCAACCCCATCTAGTGCGCCCGAAGCGTACTCGAAAGCGCCCTACCGTACATAGATTAGTCTTTGCGAATGTAGATGGCGCTGCTCGCTATCGACCCTGTTTTGCCAAAAATATCACTTTTTCATGACCAAATATTAATTAACACTGGTTCGAGTTAGAAGTCTTTCATGTGCGCGCGTCTTTTTTGCTGTAATTTTGTATTAGTTCCTGTTATAAGTATTTACTTACGTCGTAGTATCCGTGTAATATCTCTGTGCCCCGTTTATTTATATGTAATAAATACCCATAGTGCTCTACCGCCTGACTTACTCATTTAGCCTGGCCATAAAATGGCTACCCAACGGTGGGCCGACCTTGAGTAATATTCATGGATTAAAGTGTTCGAATTGTGTGAGTGTACGTTTCTATTCGAAAGTGTAGTGATATAAAGTACCTATTGACATTTTTCGTAACGATGACTTGCACCAGAAGACAGTCACGACGACAGTCTGAACTCTTCGACGACGCCGTCGAAGATGATGCAGCGAACCGACACGACGACTTCATACCTACCTTCCAGGTGTCCAGCATGATGGCTGCGATGCAGTGCTCTCAGGCAGAATCCTTCGAGAGGCTATTGGATCAAGTGCTGGACCGGCAAACTGCGCCAGCTTCGTTTGTTGTCACATCACCAGCACCAGACCCTACACCTGGTAATTTCGCAACGTGCACCGTCCGCTTTTCCGGCGACCACTCTGACTCCGTCAAGGCGTTCGTGGACGCGGTCAAAAGTTTTAAAGACTGCGCCAACGTGTCCGATGATGACGCTATACGCGGCATGTCCATGCTCCTGATAGGACCTGCTGCAAAGTGCGAAGCACGAAACTACGTCGTGGAACGACGTTATTACTCGACTGCGTAGCGTATACGGCGACTGACGGCCGCCCTACAAAATGTATAAAGAGTTATTTTCCACTGAACAACGTGACGAAAACACGGATCTGTAGCCAGAGTGAGAGCCCTTTTATCGAAGCTGCCCTTCGGAGACCTCACGAATAAGTTCAATTCTATATGGTTTACGGCCTTTTAAATCAAAAGATAAGGAAAAGGTTACGTCGAAAGGAGTGCAGTAATTTCCCGGAACTTATCTCTCATGCACGCATGATAAGGATTCTATCGATGAAAGTGCAACATCGTCATCCACTGCGTGGCGTGCAAAGCGCGGCGTGGCCGCGGCTCTCAACCAACCAGCAAGGTACAACGCGCGTGCACCGCCATCCGCATCGCCGATTCACGCTGCTAGCTTCCCTCCACGCGCGGTAGGCGCGGGTGTAGCTACGTTACCACCATTACCACGGCCTGCAGCGACCTTGGCGATGCCCACGCGCGCCACTGTTGTTCCCGCCGTCACTCCGGGCGCAGTTGTCGCTGCCGCACAGGCTGCCGGCCATACGTCTGGTTTTTCAATAGCGCCGGCCCAACTGGGGGTCGGGCCCCGCTCAGTGTTGAAGGCAACCCGGCCGTTATGTATATTACGGGCATCACAAGTAGAGGTGGGCGTTTAAACGGAAAGCACTTAAAAATGTCTGCTTTTTAAAATAAGCGCTTAAGCACGCTTTTCATTTTAAGCGTAAGCGTTGTTTTTAAACATAAAGTTTATGGCGCTTAAACGTTTTTCTAAACGACTTTTTAAGCGTCAAACTAAAAAGCGTAAGTGAAAAGCGCATTTACAAGCACGCTTTTTAAACTTACGTTTTAACCTTATAAATAAAATAAGCAGTTTTTTCCATTTCAACAATTAACAACTACAAAAGTTAAACAACCTATGTTTTTGAACGCTTTTAAACGCCAATTAACAAAATGTTAATATACTTGGTACTTGGTACTTGGTGCAACGGGCTGGTATCCGCAACTCGACGACAATGTTAATATAATAATGTTATGTCATAATAAAAATATAACTCGTTTTTTACACAAAAACTTACTTATCTTAATACCTATAATGGTCTACTCTTGCGTTTCGCTATCAACACAACGTTGCAAGCTTTTTTTAACATAATGTTAATTTAATGTTAATTTTATAAAAAAGCTTGCAGCTTTTTTTAACCTAAAAGTCTATGCGCTTAAACGTTTTCTAAACGATGTTGGTAGCTTCAAACTAAAAAGCGTGTAAGTGAAAAAGCGTTTAAAAAGCACGCTTTTTTTAAAAAAGCATAACGTTTAAACGTTTAAAAAAATAAGCAGTTTTTCCCATTTTTAATCACAAGGACCTGTGCAGTAAGTTGGCAGAGCGAAGTGAGTGTGACACTTCAATTCCCGTTTCCTGTTGTCAGTGCGGTACTAAAAACGTAACTCGCGGAAATTGTAAAAAGTGCGCCGAACAAAGTTTCTAATTTTCTATAGTGTGCACACGGACGCACAGTGTACCGTTTCTAGTAATAATGATGTGTTGTTACCTGAATATAATGATAAATACGTGTGGGATGTTACGATAGGGGAAACATTTATTTTTGCCGAAGAAATTTAGCAAGAATTCAACTTTTCTCCGACGGGTACAGCCGACCTAGTTCGAAATATGTCATCTGATCGCTCATCTTTACACGATTTCGAGAATTTATGCGATTCCGTTCATTACAATTCTAAATGTTACAGTCACGAAAATGTTGATTGTTTTGTTAACCATTTATTTGTGATAAAGTCTGAGTGATTGACCGAGAGGTAACTATGAATAATTCAAAAAAATTTTGTAATTTTTCTGCGAATGATAATAGTTGTTCGAGTGATAATATTGTTTATTTTAACGACGATAAATGTATGGATCGGCAGGTTAACCTGGATATTCCGAAAAAAGTTTGCGATTTAAATACTAATGTAAATATTTTTTTGTCCAATGTTGACAATTGTATGGATCGAAAGGTTAACCTAGACATTCTGAATAATGATAATAATTTTAACAACGAAAATTTATTTGTGACAAACTGTAGTAACCATGAAAAATGTGGAAAACAAAGTAACTGTGATAGTTCTGAAAATGTTTGAGCTCATTATATAAATTGTAGTCGTAAGGAAAATTTTATAGAAGTCGCGCGCACCGGTGAAACCTCCGATAATTTATTGCGCCTCGTTTTACGACTCATTTTGAATATAGAAATTTTAGGATCGCCTGAAACCGCGTTGATTGATACTAGTGCCAAGCAAGCAGTGTTGCAGGTCACATTCTATACAAAATCCTTAAGAGGGAGCAGAGGAAAAATTCCTAATCTTCGATTTGATTTTAGAGGTGTATATCCACTTTAAAGTTAAAAATAAAATATTGTATGAGTAACTACACGATATAATCAAGCATAGACATTAATTAGAAACATAAAACAAAAAAGTTTCCTCGATCGATAAAAATCACGAAATAACCTCTAATTTTCACATTTTGTCGATTTATCCTCGAAATGCTACAGGTTATTAGGACAAAAATTAGATAATTAATCATTGACTTACAAATAAATGGACGACGGGTGTAATACAAAAACCACGAAAAAAATGTCCCAAGTCAACCTATTTAAACGTAGTGACATGTAAAGGAATATGAAAAAGCTAAAACGAATGAAAATGAATTTAAATTGTAATGTTATCGCAGTACTGTCTAATTTTGCTTGCTTCGCTGTCAGTCGAACAAACGAAGACTAAAGCGTGAATGATGCTCTGTATACGATTTTAACGCCCTTTAAGTTCGGACACTTTTTAGCGCGGACCCGACGTCCATATAATTGTAAGTCAATGTAATTAATTATATTTATGCATGATCGATAACTGTCACTACGAATTTTTTTTAATCCCTTTAGTTTTAGAGTTATTCCGCTAAAACGAATTTGGTACTTTTAAAGCGCAAAATTCAACATCTCCTGTCGCATGTCACGCGAACTTCAGATATATATTTGTTTCACAAATTTGGGCGAAGCCAAGTGAAAACTTTTTTGGCATGCTCCCTCTTAAACAGAAGGGCCATCCACTTCGATCCGCGCGTAAATCTATTTTTTTTTTTTTTTTTTTAACGCACACACTCAACATAGCCCCGCACTAGGGAAACCCTGTGTCGCGGGTACCATGGACACACACATAGACAACCACAAATTACACCCAAACTCACGAGAGAAATAAATGTAGGCCATACAAATATTTCTCCCGGCCCGGGAATCGAACCCGGGGACCTCTGCGTGGCAGTCCGGTATGGTAACCATTCGGCCACGGAGGTAGTTATATTTAATATTTTATTATTAAGCTCGCGGATGGGTATACTCGCGAAGTTGACGTCCTCTTGACTACTCTAGATGTGAACTTAAATGAGTGGGTGATAAAAACCCCTTTTCTAATTTTACCAAAGGCCAGTGACAGTGAAACATTGCTCGGAATAGATTTTCTCCTAGCGTGGGGTGGTAATCGACTTCTCTCGCGAGTGTTGGTATTTTGCTGACAATCGCCGCATTCAATATAAAATGTGTTTTGAACCATTTCACCTGATCATTTCATGCTCCTCCTCGGACGTGCTCGATGAAAGCATGCGGTTTCAGTCACTGGATCCGAATCAGTTACCTGACAATGATGACATTTTTCAGCCAGGGGGAGAGCCGACACCTTTCGCTCAGCACCGTATAGATACGAGGCCGCATCCACCGATTACCATGTCTCCCAACGGACTGACGTCTACAAAATAGGTGTCTCGTAAGATTTTCTTCTTTGCGCCATTAGAAAAGTCGAATAGAAATTTGCAAAATACCATGCAAAGCAGCTCGCTCCTCGATCGATTTAATACTGCTGCGGTACCTACAGTACCCTTGCTTCGACGTGAGTGTCCTCGGCGAATGAGAACGTGTAGCACCGAGTCAGACGCAAGAGGGGAACTACTTTAGTCCATGAGCGAGGTTGCTAACATGAATTGCAGGGGAGAGTGTGATAGATGCTACGGCACAGCGTGTTCACAAGTCCAAGTCCTGTCGTGTCGAAGGAATGTTTCTTTCCGTTTGATCTTTGTATAATAATTAAAATATATTTGTTCTACTCCTGTACTTTAAAATGTCAATTATAATTTTATAAACTAAATCAGAATGGCGCTGTTTTTAGTTCTGAATCAAAATTCTATTGTCTATGGTATTCGCTACCTGATTTGAAAAATTTGAAAAGTTCTGTACAAAGAACTATAATGGGTTTCAAAAAAAGAATGTCGTATTTTTGCTAATTAATAGTACATTGTGTGATAAGGACGGTAAATATGAAATTCACAACGAGGCTGCAATAGAAGCCCGAAGCCGAAGGCTGACGGCTTCAATAACTCGAGTTTTGTATTTTTTTACCGTCCGTGATACATACATACAATGTTTTTCATCATATTTGCGAGGAAATAAATACAAAATACAAAAAAATATATAAATGGCGCGTTTTTGTGTTAACTTTCATAAAGCAACGATTGCTTTAAGCAATGCTATTTTTGGACGCTGCTACAAAATTATGTAATTTTAATTTTGCCGACACGTCATTCTAATCAAGCAAAATTTTTTAGAGTATAATTAGCCACTTAGTTGCGCACTTTTGAGTAGATATTAAGTAGGTTTTAGTTTTAATTGTATTTTAATCAGTTCTATACCCGCATACAGACATTTGACCGCGAAACATATGTGCCTATGTAGAGATAACATATCGCATGTTTCCAATAGGTGGATTTGGTATAATGTTACAACGATGGTGTTTTAGCTCGTTACGGTATATTCAGAACACATTTATGTTCACTATTGTTTAAAATTGTATAGGTAGTAGATTTTATTGTGTTCCCGTAATGAGAGCATTGTACGACAGAACGTAGACCTTTTACATAGTTTGTTTCGTGTTACATTAATATTAAGTTTATTGAATATCACGATGGTTTTACTAGATACCATAATATTGAATTTTTTTTTGTGAAATTACTCCACTAGGTTTTACTAGATACCATGATATTTAATTTAGCCCCACACTAGGGAAACCCTGTGTCGCGGGTGCCATGGACACACACATAGACAACCACAAATTACACCTAAACTCACGAGAGAAATAAATGTAGGCCATAGAAATATGTCTCCCGGCCCGGGAATCGAACCTGGAACCTCTGCGTGGCAGTCCGGTATGGTAACCGTTCGGCCATGGAGGCAGTTAAATGATAAACCATGATATTTAATTATTTTTTTTTAGAAATGACTCCACTAGGTTTTACTAGATACCACAATATTTAATTATTTTTTTGCGAAATGACTCCACTAGGTTTTACTAGATACCACAATATTTAATTATTTTTTTGTGAAATTACTAGGTTTTACTAGATACCATGATAGTTAATTTTTTTTGCGAAATTACTCCACTAGTTTGTTATTAATACAAATATCGAACACAGAAAAAAAAATGAAATTTATTCGACCCGGCTGGACTCGAATCAAGAAGTGAAGAAAAATTTTCATTGGTTTCTCACAGGTGGCGCTAAAAAGTCGTTAAAAAACAGAAACAAAGATCTGCAACAAGCACTTAGAAAGATTCGTAAGGTCTGCTGATAAGTTCTGTACTTCAGTTCCATCCAGCATGTGGCATCATAAAAATCCCACTTATTTAGAACATTAAAAAACTTACCATGTAATAAAGGCATAATTTAAAACGATACTTCAGGCGGTTTATTAGTGGTCATACTAGCATGTTATACTGATATGACCAATAAGAAATATAAGAAATGTGTATTGGTGGTCACACGCATCAAAATGATCTCTAAAATTGATTCCTAGACACATCGAGCACGTTTTTGCTAATTACTGAAAATCAGGTTTTTTTAATTATATTTTTTAAACACCGATGGATTTCTTTTGGTCAAATTAAATCAAATTAAATTGACGCTTCATTTTAGACACGCTTATAGAAGTGCAGCAGTGGCGCAACTGTGGCTTGGTCACTGCGCGTTACACAAAAGTGGCGCGCGTGTCGCGCGCGTCATGGCAGTGGCGCGGGCGGCGTAGCATAGTACATGTCGTAAGAAAATAAATTTTAAGTCGGGTTTTCACTATACGAGTGCACTCGGATCGACTTATCCGCTCGCACGAGTTAGAGCGTATAAGTCTACTCCAATTTCGGTTTACACCTTACGAGTTCATCAGGGTCCAAGAAGCATTTATTTCCTTGCACAATTAAGATGATGACGACTGATCTGCTGCTGCGAGGTATATGAGTTGTAGCAGACTGGCAAAATCATGGAAGAGATAAAACATAACAAAAGAAAAATTTGGACCAGAAAATTGATGCGAACGACGCAACCAACTGAGTGCTTTGAATAATTTTATTCGTGTAGTGGAAGAGAAAGATAAAAACACGTTTAAAACCTGATAAGAGTCACGTTCACTCTACTTTTTGTTAGTTGGCACCATTTTGTTTTCATAAAATGATCCGAATATACTCGGAAAGATAAAATTTACACGTTACGAGTAGCTTCTGAGTAGTCATCCGAGTGGACTTGTTCCGAGCATACTCGTATAGCGAAAACCCGGCTTAAATGTCTAATATAGGCATGGGAGCGACGTTAGATCGATTTTTGATAAATTAAATTTCAATTAACTTAGTTCGGGATAAAAATGTGCACATTTTTACGATTATGGGGTGGATAGGAAATGTAATAAAACAATAGAACATTCGGGAACGGAATCGTTTATTGAACCCATTTGTAATAGTAGATAATTAAATTATACAGTGATACTCTACACATTTTGTACTGTTCAAAGTACCTACCTATCAAATAACTATCAATGTCTTAGGGTTAAGAATGTAACTAACAAATGCACCCAATTACAGAGGAATACCATTTATTTATTTATTTAAACTAGGGAGAAATCTAGCGGAAAGATACTAATATGCGTGCAATTTCTCACGGCCTCTACAAGCAAATGTACAGTCGATGCTTTAAAATACCTAATCGCCTAGCCGACCTACAAAACCTACCTGCAAGACCTACAAAACCGATCAATACAAAACCGGGGATAATGTCTGCTAAGAGGAGTAGTATAGGTTAATATAATTACTTAAGGTAATTACGTAAAGTCAAATTGTAATGTAGCTTAAGCCAGCTAACTTGAGTACAAAATTATAAAACTGAACACTTCAAATTAATAGCTACCGTATTCTATATTTAAGTATCGTGAAAGATCGAATTGGCTTAAAAAGTTTCTTAGAAAGTCATTCTTTTATCACGAAGTAATATGAAAATGAATTTTACCTCTCAAAGGATAAAGGTTAACTAAGTTAAACACTTCTCTGCACACTTATCAACTCAGACCCAAACGGTTGGTTAAGGGGTCAGGTGCATCAGTTACCTCAGGGCGTCGACTGTACAATGTTCTTGCATATGTATTGCGTGCGTCAATTAGACGTTTTTTTCCGCAAGATTTGACCTTAGTTTTATTTAACTTCCAAATCTTTCCAAAACTGGTAATTACCAATCACAGTACTATTTTGGATCCTAAGATTACTATTAATAATTAATACAAATGTTTATTTCATGAATTCAATGTGAAACAATACATATGCCAATTCGATTCAATTTACGTAAATTTAGAAATGTGAAAATCTAATGACAAAATTAACTGAAGGACAATTATAATTGGAATACCATGCCACCTTATTATAACTAACGCAATCGATATTTTTAGTAAAATAGAGATAACATATCTGGAATCAGCGAAACGAGATCTAGGTATAATCTGTTTTATGCGGTTTTTTTATATCTTATTTAATTTTAGTTTTATTGTTAAGTGTTGGTACTGCCTCAAAAGGCTTTGGTTGATTCCGCATAACAGAGAAAGTGTTGAATTAATTACTTTGGACAAAATATATGGTAAAATTGAGGATACACACTATTACTATACTGTGTGGAAACACGATTCCTAAAAAAAAAACCACAATTTTACTACGAAATTTAACAAGAAAACCGCTGTGTTAAATAAGTACTTTACATATACCAATATTATTTTTTTATGTCAACTGAACTAAATAGAACACGTATACTATGATATACAATCTTCAAATGGCTTTAATTTCGTTTGTAAAAAAATCAATTGTGAAATAAAGGCGTGACCGGACGCTCGACCCGCGCAATAGAAACCGATTTAGTACGGGAAAACTTTGAATTCGACCTGAGGTTATAGTCTTAACCAAAATCAGTGTAACTGACATTTTTCAAAGACAAAAAGAACTTTAGGTGCCAATATCTCTGAAGTTACATCAGAAATGCAAATGTGTTAGTTATGACAAGGAGAACACTACCGTAGATCCAACAATATATTTTTTAATAGTAACTAATCACTTTGAAATAGAAAATATTTGAATACATACGTGTGAATTGTTCGTTGGTTTTAATACCTGGTCTCTTACGTCCAATGAGATTTTGGGATATTTTTTTCCAATTCCATTATTCCCCGTTAATATAGATATCTAATGGGGACATTGGGAATTAAGTTTATAAACGTTTATTGAGCGTTATCATTACTCAAAATCCAAATATCCATTCTCAAAATCCACTTTATATATTCAAGCATTTTTGAAGAGGACGTTATTACAAAGTTATATTAAAACACGAATTGGATAAATATGAAACATGCTAGATGCATTTATGAAAGAGATTCATCATTTGTTTCCAAGTATTGTGCATTATTAAGTTCCAGAGAATTGAAGCGTGAAACTGTTACATTTTGTACAGTAATCTCTATAAACTTGTCAAGTTTTAGCATGTTCAGATTCAGCCAAATGTTTTGTAGTTATTAGTAGCCTACACTAACAAGTTATTTTAGATATCGATCGACTCGCTTCGTTTATTAATTCAATTAATTTAATTATAAATCTCGCTTTATTGTCTTCAATCTCCATATCATGCGAAGCGAAGGGGTAAAACAATTGTAATTTTTCTCGTCGGCAATCAATTAAAAATTATAGTGTTGTAGCGTAACAAGTGGTGGCAATAATGTGTAACATCACTTTGGTTCCTCATTTAAAAAAATCTACATAATAATATTATGCAGGTAAATACATAAAATTGAGTATTGTTTTGAACAGAGCAAATAGCTTACACATTTTTGACAAAGATGGTGTCATCTTAAGGTAAGCAAGAATTATGAATAGAAAGAAACTTTGATATAGTTCTTTTTTGTCTAGTAATAAATATTATATTTGCAGAATTGGCATTCAAACTCCAGCTACGAGTTTCTTGCACTGTTCAAATCAACCATATGTAAAAGTAGCAAGGTTTACAACCGTTTACAACACAATACATATTACGCGCAAAGTATATTGTGAGGCTAATCTTTGCATAAGTAACAATTTAAAAAGCCTGTGATGGCCTGGTTGGAATGCTTCCCCCTGTGTAAGAGTTCTTGGTTTCGAATATCACCGGGGAGCTGCAACACTAATTCTTTATTAAAGGGTAACATTACGATGAAATCTGCATGTTGCAAAATCAAGTAAGTCCCGAAAGGGACGGTCTTTGGGGACCATGATCTAAATTTACTCCTTTTTATTGTTAATTTAGTGCGGGAATTCACGGAAGACAGTCGCCGTCAATGAACGCACAGGTGGCCTGTGCGGAGTTCACGCGGAGCGTGTTCCGTACGGAGGAATCCGTGTCACTGTCTAACGCCACACGCACACACACGTGTTATTCCGCTCCGGTGCTCCACGGTGTGCAATATCCGCACAGCTCTGAAACCAGCCTTAGCGGAGACAGTAGCTAAAGTATGCCAGCGGTGGGGCACTACGTTCGTAGGTGCGATGTCAAAGAAAAATAGATTATTAGGATTTAATTCAGAGTTTTCTATTTTGTATTATCTTAATTTAGTTTAACACCAGTAGAGCTCCTTCGTCCAGGGAATGACTGCTACCTTACCTATTTCTGTCGGTAAGCAGTAGTGTGAGCTTTACAGCGTTTCGGTGGCTTATCGTCTCAGGGTGACTCTCGGATCTTTATGATTTAAAGCTATGAGTGATACTAAATTGTTATGAACAGGTGTGTCACTTACCATCCGGGGCACGACTTATTCGTCTCGTGACTTAGTATTATAAAAATCTAATTGACAGTTATTTTTTTTTAATTAATTGTTCGTCTAATAAAATAAAATATAAAATAAAATCTTGGATGTTATAGTATATATGATGGCTATTTTAAAAGTTCATGTTATATTAACTTCATTATTTTGCTTGCTAAATAGTTACTTATGCCAAGTCCAAAAACCCCAAGAACATTAGGGCCGTTAACATTAGGAAAAAATTACAATTTCATGATATGTACCTGAGTATACACAACACAATTCATTGACAAATAGCAAATAATACAGATGAATAAATAGCATTCAATCACGTAATAATATTTATACACTTAACATACTTTAGTACCCTTTCGATTTAATGTTTTTTTAAGGTATTAATCGTTATAGATGACTATTTTAAAACTGTAGTTAACTATATCGATACGCACTTATAACCGTTATTTACATAAGTACCTTTTGTTGCCAACAGTAAGATACGACTGTCAAATGTTTCGGAAATTCTCTTATTTAACTGACATCAAAAAAGGGAGGTAGAGATACTACCACAATATAAGATTTCACGAGAACAACCGACCAATGGAACACACCCTATCCAAACAACAATGCATCGTTCGTGAAAAGAATCCATTTAAATGTATATGAAAATAAGTGAGACTTACTGTATATACAAAAATATCACATTACTTCGAGGCCGCAGCTTTCATTTACTTAGTAATTACTTAATCCTTCTTACCTAAGTTGTCGGGTATGGTTCGAAGCAAGCTACACATCGCGGCGAGTAATTGGAAAAACAAAACTGTTTTCACACGGTTTTAGAAGCGTATTTGCCGCCAAAAGCTTTGTGGCAAGCGCAAGTTGTTTCTTTACAGATTCAATTAGATATATTATGGTATATCGTCAGACACAATCGTGCAATATTTATTTGTGAAAGCATGAGCAAATCTCAGAGATACATTTGCAATACAAAGAATACCATCGATTTATACAAAACAACACATCAATGCCTTTTGCTTTCGCCCTTCCTATACCTAATTATGGAACAAGACTAGGTGTTATGTCATAGCTTTAAAGTTAAAAGTGAAATACTACGACACCTACAAGGTCTAATTGAAAAGGCTGTCTAGAGAGTAAAAAGCTGCAGCCTTGCGGATCGGGCAGCCATCGGTAATACAATGCTACACTAAGCTAGCGTCAGTGGCAACACTACCATTGCTATCATTATCAACTTTCAAACAGTTCCCATTTCTTATCCATTCAACAATGTAAAAACAGCAACAATAGCGTCGAAACGAACACGTCCTAAAATAAAAACTATTCAATTTTGGCTTACCGTCAATTTACAAGCTACGCGAAAGCGAGACAACACTATTTAAAAACCAGTCAGTTTCGATCGTCACTCCACTATCACAAATAGAAAAATATATTAATATCGGGGGAGGCGTCGCGTTTATTGCTAGGTGCAGTCTTTGGTGGCGTCCGGGGAGGAGCCGCCGGAGAGGTCGTCGAGGAAGTCGAAGTCGGCGATGGCGGCGCGCTCGGTGTCGCCGTAGCGCACGAAGAAGCCCTCGCGGCCGAGGATGGACGGGCGGCGCGCGCGCGGGAAGCGTAGCACGGCCAGCCCGCGGCTGCGCAGCGCGGCCGCTGCGGACCACCACGGTTAGTCTGTCCCTTGACCGCCCTCAGCCCTCTGCTCTACAAGCGGGCCGCGCCCTCTGGACGAGACAACTGCGTGAGCTCCGTCGCATGTCCGCTCACTCGCCTCGCCCACAGCGCACAGCACGCACCCATCGCCCGCTACATACCTTCACTGCTCTGCAACCTTCCTCAACCTTCCTTGCATCCGATAATATTTATTCCAATAGATACTGCTTCTAAACAAAACTTATTGAAGAAGTTTGCAGAGTGATGGCCTTTGATGACATCTACCGAAATGAGGCGAGAGAGTGAGATGGTGCGAGTGAGTGCGGAAACGAGTGACGTAGCAGGACGTGTGACAAAGAGAGAACATGACATGACACCATATAAAGTTGACAAGTTAACGGTGAATGGCGTTATTATACGTGTATTTCTCATACGCACTGTCTCTGTTAACTTGGCAAAGCCACTAGAATAAACATTGCAAAATGTTTTTTTCATATATATATATTAATAGGCATTTTTGATAAATTTTTTATTATGTATAATATTTTTTTATTACCATTTTGCAACATTTTATTCTTACACAAAGTACGAAGCACAAAATGAAAATAATGTAAACTAAATGTAACATACAACATAATCCTTATATAAAAATGTAATGTTACTAACACCCACGAAAATACAGTACTTAGTAGCCCTTTAGCCTTTGTTACATTTATAGTATCATTAAAATATTCTTTGATTTACATAATTTCGGTAACATTTACTTATAATTGAATACAGTTTTTATCCCAGAAATGACACAAAACAAGATGAAAAATAAATTCTAGAAGAAACAACCCAAAAACCCTATTTTATTACTAAACGAATTAAACCAAAACATATAAGCCAAATAATAGCACCACATTAACACAATGACATTAAAAAGAGCCACCCCACGTAGCGATGAGGAGTCGGTTAGAAAAGGCTTTATGTTCATGCGATAAGAGTGAAAAAGATGTTGCGCGTTTCGCCTGTGACGAGTCGTATTGTAGACAATGTTTTTTTCGCCTTTATTCCATGAACATAATAATGCTTTTTCCTACAGGTTCAAGCCAAGCCGTATAGATAGGCGTGGTGACTCTTTAAATAACAATTACATAGAAAACATTAAGTAGCGTTCACTGGCGACTGAAAGCCAAACTCCGGCCATGACTAACGTGACCATACGTTCCGCTTTGAGTGGGATAGTCCCGCTTTTAGGTTTCGTGTCCCGCTGTCCCTAAAATACTTGAAAGTGTCCCGCTTTCACAAAACAGAACACACGAAACTTTGAAAATGGCCCGAAAGCGAAAAATATAAAAAACCAGCCAACTTTTAGACATTTTACACCACACTACACAAGATTAGTTGTTTTAAATTTTAGATCCATTAAACAATTTTATTTCTTTTTTTTCTCATTAAACATTTCGAAAGTATCATAAACAGGTGTCTCGCTCCGAGGGAAAAAATATGGTCCCGTTAGCCATGACACAAAAATAAAAATTGTTTGTTTCACAAAGTTGAAACGACACGCGCTAGTATTAGGCAGCACTACATGGTGCTACACTGATTAATAAATACTCTCTATACGCCCGTTGATACGTTCCAATTTTGTATTGACAAATATTAAAAAATCAAAATTTAGCGTAATAGGACGTAGTTTGTAGGTACCTCTAGATTCAATTTTCCATGAACGGCGGTTTAATAAAACTCTATATTTGAAATTTAAATTGATATTGTCAGTCATAAAATTCTGAGGTATGACTAAAACTACGCTGTCATGGTGGCTACAGACCTGCCAATATGATGTGATCCAGAGTCTGGTACTATGCGTTGTCTTTATTTTTTTGTAACAAGTGATAATTGTCGATTAAAATTCACATAGCACATTGCAGGCAGATCTGTGGGCACCGTAAATGTCAGTCTAGGGTCATTTTACACTTTAATATGCTTGAGTAACACGTCCCAATTAAAAGCTTTCATGTTATTTTAAATTTGAACTCGCTTTTAGCGTGGTACGGTGCTGCAGTGTTATTACAGATAACGAAGATTGACCTCTTAAATTGGTTGGAATTGTCGATGAGGTTTGGAGTTTATACATACCAGTTTTCTGCCTCCTGGAGCGATGGAGTCGATGTAGCCTCGAGTACGGAGGCGGAGGTGGCTCGGCTGGTGAAGACCCACATGACGACGGTGAGGAGTCCGAGGACGCAAGCATCACATCTAGCAGGTTTGCTCTCGCCTGGAATGTTCGTTTAAAAAAAATAGTTATCTTCAGAACGTCAAAGTCGTCCTTGGCGAATGGCTCGCGGATACACATTGTTGCCGTTTCGTGGGAAGAGTGAAGTTTCTCGTTACTTTTTTATTATCTGCGTCAGGTCCCAGTAAGTAGCTAATATTATTTTAATAGAGGGCTAACTGAAAAATTAAACAACATTTGCTTGCTATAAAACTTGTCTATTATTTATTTTTTGTGTTATTGTTTCCAAATGATTGTCGACAAACCTTACCTTGGGATCACTGAAGTCAATATCCTTTTCAACGTGCACCCAGCCTGTGGGCGCCCACAACGCGCTGTCTTTGTGAGAATGGGTCTTCTCCACTTGATCTTTCACTTCAGAAACGGTCGGACCTTCGCTCTGTCGAATCATCCTGGAAAGTTACAGAGGTGCCTTAGAGTTAAGTACTTTATATTTCCGAAGAAATTTCACATTTCACAAGAAATTTCAACGTAAAATAAAAGAAGATGAATCATCTTACCTATTAAGTTCTTCAATGACATCTTTAGAAGTGGCAGCTTCATGGAAGCTCAACGTGTGCTCTTGTTTCACTATAATCGGTTCAGGCGCCGCTGGCGACAGCGCTGCCGCAGCTGAACTCCGCTCCGCTGCCACAGGAATCTTTGACTTGGTCTTATTCGGCGATGCCGGAGGCCTCTTCGCTCCCATCAGAGTAGGTATGCGACTCTTTTCACTTCTAATCTTCACTTGAATCACTTCTTTCTTATTACTTACTATCACAGTTTCAGCAGTAGAAGTGCTTGTCGTGTTCGATTCAGTCATTTGAGGGGAACTCGTCTCCGGCGACGAAGTTTCCTCTTCTTCAGGGACGGTAACTAAAGCTCCCGTGCTTCTCCTGCAAGCACTCAGCACCTCGTCCACAAGGGACAACTCCGTCTCTGCAGCAGAGTACGGGAAGCTCGAAGATTTCATTAAACAGGGCTCCAAATCAATTCTCTCGTTGATCGGCCCTTGACCATTCAACATAATATTGACAGTATTCTCTCTCAAAGCAGAATGTTCCATACTTCGACTAGATTCAATATCACACGGCCTCTCCTCTTTTGTTTGCGCTGAAGCCTGGTCATCAAAATCGGCTAAATGACTCATATCAATACTTCTGTTTATTTCGTTCTTCCTTTGAACTTTCAACAAATGATGTTCATCCATTTCATTTTCCGCGTTATCTAGTCGTGAAAATTCATCATAAAAATCTTCTGATTCTGCGTAAGGGTCTTCTCTCTCTATAAATCTTGGCGTCGATCGCGACTCAGATACTGTATCGCAGTACTGAACGCGTAGCCGCTCTGCGTGTACGACATCACAAGAATCGTTTTCAGAAAAACTACCAAAGGAATCAGGCCTTTGTCTGTCTTCAGAAACCTCGCTACGTGGCCCAACAGATTCATCGTCAAAATCAGCAGATGCGTAAGGAGGTGGTAGTTCTCGTATCTCTGAGACTGGCCGTGAAGACGTCGAGTCTGACTCTTCTCTGTCACGGCAATACTTTTGCTGTTCAGCGATGAAATTAAGAACATTTTGTAAAGCTTGCTCGCGATCCTGTAGTGCCATGGCTTGCACGTCATGAATTCGCAGGTGATTGCTTGTGTCTTGCGAAGGTATACCTCTGGATGAATTAGATGCTAAACTTTTGGTGCTTTCGTATTTGACAAGGCGATAAAAATCGCGTGTGAAATCGAGTCCAACATTGGCGCAATCTCCATCCTCACTTAGCGCCGTACTTGACCTCTTGTCTTGGGCATCAGAAGCGTCTGACCATGATCCACCGGGTGAATGTGTTCCTGAGCATTCCCAGCGTTTGTCAACAGCATCTGTATCATCTCCTATTCTACATTCATCAATTTCTACTGTAGCAAATCCGCAATCATTCCACAAACAGTCCCCAATCTCTTCTAATTCTAATGCGTCATCTTCTCTAATGCTAGGTAAAGTTGACAAGGAAATTTGACCAGGTGTTGTAATTTCAGCAAAAGGAGATTGTCTATCTCTGAGATCTTCACACGAAAGCGATAGGCTCCAGTCTTCGACTTCTGCTCTATCGTATTCTAGATCGGCTAAATCTCTATGTCGCTGTTGTAGCGCAGACCTAGCGTCATCAAGTTCGAGCCAATGTTGAACGTAATCAGCATCAAATTGCGAACCGTCCGCGCGCTCATCCACTGTACTTCCCCACGAAACTCTTTCCGAGCTTGTTGTTGAAACGATTGCAGGTCTTCTTAGAGGTCTTTCCGGGGTTGCTTTTAGGTCTAAAAGTAAAACTCCTGAACTCGGTGTTGGTGTATCTAGGCAGCTTGTAGGACAGGTTGTGCCAGCTATAAGTTTTAGACAAAGATGAGAATCTGAAAAACTTCTGACGACGTGTTGGAAGGGTAAGACAGGTCGTGATGGTGGATAGCTGCCCCTGACACCTGCAAACGCAATTCCTATAGGGAAATAGATGTAGTCTGCATCAGAAGTCAGTAATCTTGCATGACGACGTGATACTCCAGGATTTATGGAGACAATGGTTTGGTTGTCGGTCTCGTCTGAAGCTTCGTTAAGGTCTGGGAGGGCTCGATCAGCAGCGTGGTCGCTTTGCCGCGACGCGTCAGCCTGTACGTCGCTCGACATGGTGGAATAGCCTTCGTCTTTGGCGCCGCTCTCGGGTGATTCTGCACCAGCTTCGCCTACCTCACCGCTTTCTTCTTCTGTTACCTTTTCGTCGATTGTACCTGGTCATCATAATGATTAAGTTAATTAAAAACACATCTATAATCGGAAGAACTAGTAATGACGTATCTACCTAATCGAAATACTTACCCCTTACAGGGTCTGGCTGAGGCACACTTAGGCTGAGAGTTGCAGGCCGTGCGGGTGGAGCCCACAAAGTGGGGTCCACAGCTGATAGTGCCCGCGCCAGATTTGCTGGAGTCACTTCCAGGCCCTGTAAGAAGATAATGTGCGTTTTATTTAATTTTGCCTTTTAATTTAATTAATTGGTTTAAAGGTCAAGTAAAACATGAGGAGAAGCAGAAAGGTTGATGTCGATAATACCTTGAGCTCAGTCCAGATATCAGACAAGATCTGATGTCGTCGTTTGTCGTCCTGGCAGAGGGGGTGCGGGTGAGGTACAGGCGGCGCGGGTGGCGGCGAGTCTCGGAACGAAACTAGAGATCCGCACGATCCAACGTCTATCAGATGAACTGAAATACGCAAACCAGAGAACTGAGAAACCGTAAACTTCAATGGTTTCCACATATATCTTCCTTAGCCAGCAGATTAAGCTCTCCTGCATACGCAGTCCGTAGAATACGTGAGCTTACATGGGTAAGTAGCAACATGGTTGCTACTGCTAGACTAGTTTACTTTAGTTACTTCCATAATATAATGTATACGCTATTGCTGTATAACGTACGCATAGTTGTGCCTTTTTCGTTAAGAGGGCAAAACAAGAGTCTAGATTCCACACAATTATGATTCAAAGTGTATCCATAGCATTTAAGTTTATTTGAAAAGAGCAATCCCTCTTCTTAGGGAGGTCAGCGTAGTGAACGAGCAGTAGCTTAAAAATGATGTTTTCAAGTCTAAAAATTTTACCTATGGAATAAATGATTATTTGACTGCTGAAGTGTTCGTTTGTCTGGTTACACTATTGAAGGTCATAGGTGCTGGTAAAAGCGCTTGGTGGTATACCTTGTAGATCACGCGGGTTATGCGGAGTATGAGGCGTGAGTGGCGTGTGCGGCGTGGCGGGGGACGGACGGGGTAGCGGTCGCAGCTGTCGCACGAGTAGGGCGCTCAGCGCGCGGTTCTGCGCCTCCAGCTCACGGACGCGTGCGCGCGCGCACCCCAGCTCTTCGCGCACGCTCTGCAATTAGAATCAAAATTGTTTATTTTTAATTCGATCATATTGCTATACTGCATCTGCCGCAACACGCAACTGCTACTCAGTCGGGGTGTGCGGCATAGTAGTACCATAGTAGAATAAGAACAAGTATGGTAACTTCATATTAAAAGTCGCAGCGCGACTTGTATGTGTGCGCGCCCGCCGCGCGCCTTGTACGGACGCACACATTTGCATAACCTAAGGGTGCTCCAACGTTGCACAACAATGGTCGTCTCAACGCGCATTTCATTATTATGCGAATTTTTTTTTATAATAATAATAATAATAACGCACACACTCAACATAGCCCCGCACTAGGGAAACCCTGTGTCGCGGGTGCCATGGACACACACATAGACAACCACAAATTACACCCAAACTCACGAGAGAAATAAATGTAGGCCATACAAATATTTCTCCCGGCCCGGGAATCGAACCTGGGGCCTCTGCGTGGCAGTCCGGCATGGTAACCGTTCGGCCATGGAGGCAGTTAAACTTAATGTGTGCGTACGAACACGGTTGTAGACAACACATGCTACAAATTATTGTATTGTTACGCAGACATTATTTACACTGATGTAGTTTAGTACCTCAGCTCGAATTCAAATTTTTTCCCGCACTAATACGGTCGAGCGGCAGGGACACTGGCTTAATTTCTGAATTTATTTTTTTCAAACGTAATTAAAGCCGTTTGAAAAATGTGTATCGTATAGTATACGTGTTCTATTTACTTCAGTTGATACAAAAAAAAAATCATCGGTATATGTATAGTATCTATTGAATACTACTAATACTATTGAATAATACTAATAATTAGTTTTTTTTTGTCTATCGTGAAAATTTTGTTTCTACACCACATAGTAATCAGTCTATATCCTCAATTTTACTGTCTATTTATTCAAAGTGTTTGATTCAACACTTTCAGTGTTATGCAGAATCAACCAAAGCCAGTAGAGGTTGTATAGACTCTTAATAAGAAGCTGATTAAAACGTACAATTAGTTTTATGAGTACAGTTTTAATGGCAAATCATAATATTAAAATTGTTACTTGGAAAAGCATTATAATTATTCTGGTTACAAATTATAAGAACTCCAAGCCATCGAGATTTAAATGTTAGTTTAAATACAGTAATTACAGTTAATATCAAAATATCCAGATATCTATTTATTACAAAGTTTGTGAAAGTAGAACCTTTTAAAACTCCCCCTTGACGCATCCCTCAGTTGTCTTCGAAATAAACGCGTATATTTTAATTATGCTTCATTAGTTAAATTAAATTCAAGTAAGGTAATTGACGGGTGGTAATTACTAGGGGGAGAATAGAGATACTGTAAAACAGCAACACTGTAAGACGCGTCAGTATTGCCAAGTTTTAACAAGCTCTGAGATATGGTCGCGACGGACCGAGTTTGTTTATTAAAAGATTTACGAAGACTTCGCTGAATTAATTTCCAAGTTAATTAAGGGTTACTAAAATTAATTAAAGAGGTTACGGTTTTAGAGTGTTTTAGGATGTGAAAGTTATTTTGTGACAGATATTTTCTATCAAATGTTAAGATTTAATTTATAACGAAACGTAAGTTAGATACGTACATTTAGAGAAGAAAAAATCTCATAATAATAATATTAATGGGCGTACACTTACACCAATTACCCATCTTTCGAATTAGGCACTTCCCAGTACCAAAGCAATGGAAGTCGTTCCAAGATACTAACCCATAACACCCAGTCACGAACCAATTTAGAAAAGTCAACTTCTCAAATCGGTCTTACTTACTGGGAATCAAACCTGGGACTTTGTCGTCTAGCGACCACAGTGCATATAGTTGGGTCACCAAAGTCGTCATAAAGAGAAAGTACTAATCGAAATACCATAATCTCAGTACAGAGTACTAAAAAAACGGACCTCAAAAGTACGTGGAATTACGTCTATTTGCTAAGTTTCATTGAAATATCCCCTAGTTCGCCACTATACAGGACTTGATACTGGAGATAATAAAAATAGGTTCTCACTACGACATTACCCAAAGTATATCGAGGGAAAAACGCATTGAATTGGAGAAATAGCAAAATCAACTAAATAATTGATAAAAGTAATTGCTCCTAAATTAAAGTTAGGCGCTATTTATAAAAATGAATCTTCATGCGTGAACAGCCACCCTTTGAGGTGGATGATTTTGATTCAAAATGAAATGGGACCACTATGGAAATACTCCCTTTCCAACAAAAAAAGAATCATGAAAATCGGTTCACAAATACCGGAGTTATCGCGTAACATACATACAAAAAAAACAAAAAAAAGAACATACAGACGAATTGAGAACCCCCTCCTTTTTTGAAGTCGGTTAAAAATTAAGTAAAGCACATTTATTTGTGAAGACATAGGTTATTACAGAAGTTGATATGTAACAAATAAGTATAATTATTAATACAAAGATCGAACACTCAGAATAAAATCCTTCGATCCGGCCAGATTCGAACCAACGCCTTCTAGCATACCGTGCCAGACGCTATATCAACTAAGCCACGGAACGAAGTCACGAATTTTTCTATGAGCTTGCGCCGTATTTTTGTATTTGGTTTTTCAACGACTTTAGGATTGCCGATTTTAGGACTTTTTGCGTGTAAATATCTAATTCGGAGGATTTGGTCCCGGTTTTTGAATTCGGTGTATATGATATTACAAAAACTAAATTTTACGGTAAGTCAATAGTTGTATGCAATATTTTGTATAATATGTGTTGTAACAACTAGAATATAATAACAATTTATTGGTTTTACAAGTATAGTCGATTACGAGTAATATCAAAAAAAATATATATTTCCTGAATTCCGTGGCCGATTTTATGTCACCGAATTCAGAAAAGTTTCCACCGAAGTCGGAAAAAACTGCCCAGTAAAGTCATATTTTCTTTGAAAAGTAAGACTTTTATACGTTTTCATATAAATGTTTAGTTAATAATAGGGGTTAAAGTATGAAATTGCCGATTTGTACTGAAAATCTAAATTGTTTATTTTTTAAATTTTTAACAAATTTATTTAATCAAAATAGTTGCCATTATTATCTATACATTGCTGCCATCTAATGGGAAGGTTATTAATGCCTTTGCGATAGAACTCCGACGATCTAGACTGCACAAACTGTGTGAAAGCATTTTGTACTGCCTCCTGGGAAGAAAACTTCTTGTCACGTAGATAATTGTCCAAATCACGAAAAAAATGGTAGTCCGTTGGAGCAAGGTCTGGTGAATACGGAGGATGACGAATGGTTTCTAACTGCAGTTCCTGAAGGGTCAAAATGGTTTCTCGTGCTGTGTGAGGTCTCGCGTTGTCGTGGAGCAATAATGGTGAAGATCGATTCATGAGTCGGGGCTGTTTTACTGCTAGTTTTGTCAACATGGTTCGGAGTTCGGCACAATAGACATCTGCCGTTATTGCTTGACCAGATCGGAGAAAACTATAGTGAATAACACCATGCTGAGACCACCAAACAGTTACCATTACCTTTTTATTGGTAAGTTTTGCTTTAGGACACTGTTGTGGCATTTGACCTGGGGTCAGCCATTGCATTTTTCTTTTCCGGTTATCATAAAGAATCCACTTTTCATCACATGTTACAATTCGATCCAATATTCCTTCATTTCTGTACCGGTTCAACAAGGCAACACAAGTTTCAACACGCGTTTCTTTCTGCAGGTCAGTCAAATCACGAGGCACCCATTTTTCGTATTTTTTATTTTATTGATTTGACGCAAGTGAGTCAATATTGTGGGTAAGGTAACGTTAAACCATGCCGCTAATTCCTGGGTAGTTTGACTAGGATCGGCTTCCACTATCTGTCTTAATTCATCGTTATTCACCTGTGGTCTTCCTCGTGCCTCGTTCTTTAAGTCGAAATTTCCATCACGAAAGCGTTTAAACCAAAATCGCACTGTGAGTTCATTAGTAGACCCCTCTCCAAACGCAGCATTGATATTGCGTGCTGTTTCTGCCGCGTTAGTTCCGCGTCGGAACTCGTATTCAAAAATCACTCGAATTTTCGCAGTATCCATCTTTCTTGTCTAAATTGAATAACAAAAACAATTGAAAGTCGATATTCAAATGTTTCAAATTTAAAAAATAAAATCACAGAAACCATTTGAAAAAAGTTTCATTCGAAAACCTCAAACCATGAAGATTCTATGAAAATTCAAAGAACCTATTGCAATAAAACGGCAATTTCATACTTTAACCCCTAATATTATTGATTTTCACAATTTTATATTGCTACTTGTTTCTCAGTGAAAATGAATAACGAAAATGAAAACAGGAAATAAAGATGAAGGAACGCGCTAGAAAAGCAAAGATAAAAAGCGTTCCAATTATATATGAAAGGTGATTTAAAGAAAAAGATAGACAGAGGTATGCGAAGAAAAAGCGGAAGGAAATCGTCATGTATAAAAAGTTCAAGTTCCAAAAAAATGATTGCTTTTGTAGCTACAGACTGCGTTCTAAATTTGTTTTTTGAAAGACATACGGAAATAATTTGTGTGATTGAACCATGATTGAACAAAGGCTGAACCTGCCAAACTGAAACCTGATTTTAATTAATAGTCTTAAGGTGAAATTAGCTTGTGTTTTTCTGGTCGATTTATAAATAAATTTTAGTTTTTAAAGCTTGATTTAATTTGTTCGTCATATTAGTAAATGTTTATGTAGATTACTGAATGTTTTTATTACCTTTAAATAATAACAATAGGATAAAATTATAAAAATTCCGACATCAGAGGATTCATGTCCAATTGTATTTCTATTAACTACAGTTTTGTTGGTGATTTTTTATCTAAATTAAGTTACACATGTTATTTTTTCATACTCTGTATGTAAAAAGTATAAATCTCTGTATCTGTCCTGTTAAAGCTTTTCATACTCATTTTTTTATTTCACTCTGGATACAAATAATTTTAAATACATATTTAAAACTAAAAAATGAAGAGAAAAATATATTAATTCCATATGAAAGAGCGTAATTTATTTAGTTCTTTGGCTTATATATAAATATGAGTGTATCGAGCCTAAGTTACAACTCATGCGTTAACGGTTTTTCGCGACTCCTGTAAACTTGGAGTGTGGTTGGAATTGGACTGTGGTTCTACTGAAAACGGGTTCAAGTTTTTTGACTTGAATCCGTTTTCAGTAGAACCACAGACAAGTAAGCCTTTGTCCAGCCAAATAACAAGTGGAGTAGTTTCACAAAAAAATATATAAAAATTATGATCATGATATTAAACCTTCATTATCTTCTTAATCTTTATATATATTCAACATGTTCACCTTTATCATAAAGCAATTAACGTCATCTCACAAATTCTATTTGATATATGTTCATCCCTATTGGTAATACATTAACTCCTCTACATACAACGATATCCTATACTATATGCATACGTTTGTCACATCATAAGATATCCTAAGTAATTAGAGACGTTGCAGGGAGGATACGACCAAAGGGTTACTTACGAATGGTAATATTACTTAATAGACTGTCGCGCTGTATCCATCATGTATCCAACATAGTTATTTATAAATTGAATTTAATTTAATGTAAGTAAACATTCGTTACGAACAATTATATTTATTAGAATAAACAGAAAAATAGTTACAATACAGAAATAATATTCATTGTAATGAATGTATCAGTAAGCTTTACTACCATCGTATATCATATCATTAGGTTTAGACCTAAGAGGAAACTCGTACGTATAAATGAGTCCTAAGGCTCTTCCACATAAACACGATACGCCGCTGCGTCGTCTTATCGTAGAAACTCACGGTACGCTCCCCAGTGCCGCATTTATTTGTTATTCAACATTGAAAGATGAAATGAATGATGATGAGAAGCACGACGCGACGTTGCATTGTGTTTATGTGTAAGAGCATGGCCTAGCAAGAGTATGTATGGCCTAAGGCTATAGTCCGCCACGTTGGCCCAGTGGGGGTTGGGGACTTCACACTTTTTCGAGGGTTTTGAACCTTCTTCGACGTTTTCTTTTACCTTATATCTCACGGTAAATTAAATTTCGCACATAAATTCCGAAAAACTCAGAGGTGCGAGGCCGGATTCGAACCCACGGCCTCTGCTTGAAAGACTGTAGGATAAACCATTAGGATACCACGGCTATAACTTTTTGTGAAATGGCTCAAATACTTTGTTATAATTATTAATACAAAGAAAAAACCCTTCGATCTTGCAGGTCCACTGGGAGCGGTTGCCTTAGATTAACAGCACAGACAGGTTCGAATTCTGTCGGTTTGTAGGATTTTTTCTTTGCGTTCGATCTTTGTATTAATAATTATATTGGAATAATGTAAACATTTTGCTATTATGCGCGATATATGACTCCGTGTGTTTTATTTTCTTTAACATGGTAATTAGTGCAATTTCTAAATACACAAGGCGGCATTAGAAAATTGAATAAAATGACGCTATTTCAAGAAAGCGGACCGATTGCAAGACGTTACAATTACACTAGTAACATTTGCCTTTTTATAAGTATATAATATTAATAACTTACCTAGATTCGTTATATTAAAATGTGTTCTAAAATAGATGACAACAAACTATCCGACGTCGTTGGCGGTTAAACCCAAAGACAAACATGAATACTGTCAGCAAAATTGAAGTCTTTACAGTCCCATAAAAGTTTGGTTTGCAAGCAGAGATTGTAGCTAGCTCTGTCCCTTATTTTGTGGACCGTTTTGTTTATAATAATAATATAACCTAGCCCTTAGAATAATAACGCATAGAAACCTAGTCCGCACACGCTAAGTGAGGCAAATTGAAGCGCGCCCAAAGGGCCTACACGAGCGGGCGGGTCTTCAGTGCTCAAGGTCAACTTGCACCGCGAACAGATCAAGAATTTGAGCTAAAAATGACGAAATGTGCGGTAAATGAGTGTAAAAATACGTCAGACAAACATAAAATAGATACTAACATCACATTCCACAAGGAAGTAACGCGTTTCAACTTGTATTTTTATATAAATATTCACTAAAACCGAAAATTATCCTACTACTAAAACTAGCCTACATGAATTTGATTTTTGCCTCACTTGTGACAGTTCGTTTGATATGAAACTATCATTCTATGCGTTATTATTCTAAGACCTAGCCCTTAAACGCCATCAGTTGACAAGAGCAAGTTCGCTGCGTCGTTATCTTTACACAAAACGAACCCTTAAAGTGATAACGCGTGGACTTTGTCGACATAATTATATTATATCGTCGGTTAAAAGGTAAAACTCATTAAGTGACATTTTGTTCAAAAACTAGATTTTTTCAATTTTGCTTTATTGGGAAGAACATCTATGACAAGAAAAATTCAGTAAGTCTGTGGTGTCCTTCATGTTTTAATACATACCAGTCCTTTAGTGATTTTTCATAATGAAAAAATACAAAATCTTAATTATCTCCCTTTGGCCAATTAGGCTATTAGTGAGTTTTACCTTTTAACCGACGATATGCAGACATTGATTCTATAACCATAGACACATCAAGAGCACATCAAGCTTGACACTTTGGACTTTGGACCGTTCTTATTGCAAGCGGCATAGGCTTAAATTGTCAAGTTTGACGTGCTCTTGACCCTGTACCGTCTGTATATGTATGATAATTACGAGTAAGAAGTTTCGTATATATATGAGTCTGGCTAACGAAAGATGAAAAAATTGTATGGTATCACAGGTGTAGAAGGTAAAAATAATTTTGATACAAGTACAATGGAATAAAATTATTTTACGAATTCGTCTGTCAATTATGTATATATTTAAAATTTAGGCATGTTAGAACCAACTGGGTGAAGTTGTTGGCGGAAGCCAACAGTTGCAGGATACCAGAAAATTACAGAAATGACATAAATTTAGAAAAGAGTAAAACGTACCTACAATATAAAATGATCAAATCTATTCATGTTTATTTGCATACTGTACTTCGGAAGTTCTATAAGGATATGGTACAACATATTATACAAACAATAAATACATTTGTTGTAATTTTATATTTACTCATCATAATCGAAATTAGACTGATTAACCTCAAATGATTTTTTGTGTGTTTATTTATTTATTTATTTATTTATTCAGGATATTCCACATAGCAATACACTATACATTAAATTTGAACATATTCGCTTAAAACTAAGTGCTTCTATAGTTAAGGAACATCACAGCATGCATACAAAAAAATAAATTGAGCATATAGTTAATCCTTCTACCTATGATATGATATACAGTAATTGATTTAAAGTTACAAATAAAATTAAATTTCAAAATTAAAATTAGAATTAAAAATATAAATTAAAAAATTTAAATACAAATTTACAATAAAAAATTAATTGAAACATCATTTATGTATTTAAAATATCACACAACCTTCTCTTGTAATTGTTTAACCCAAGACCAATGTCCAAATCATGCAATTTGGAAAACGAGTTATACGTCCTGCAGAGCCTCGGCAAAAGAGCGAAATGACCGAGGTTCGTTTTTGAACCTACTACGGCAAAAAAGTTATAAGCGCTTTGCAGTGTTCGGTAATTATTGCACACTGACTAGTAAATAACCCTTCGTATAAACAACGTCGCACTTGTATCGTTGTGAACAATGGGGATTTTAAACTTCTGTGGACAGAAGTTTTCAGACTAATGTCCAGTACTTTTGGTGTAGGTATGAATTGATAATAAATGTTTGAATTAAGACATTTTGTAAAGTATGGAGTGCTCACATCAACAAGGAAAAACCATAAACGGAACGCAAAACACCCGTCGCCCATCTTTATCTGAAAACTTCGCGCCTAAACCAAAACAATATGGCGGACCGGTCGTAGAGTAGATTTAAGCGATTTAAACGCAAACGGTCGCATTATCGGCCAGATTACCCCTAGATTATAGTGGGCCGTGGCACCGTGGAATTATTACGGTGGAGCTAAGACCGCTGTGTCCCATTCTATGCGATTTATGTGCGAATGTAGCGTCGGCTAATCCGCGGTTCTCTAACGCTCGAGCTATAATTATGAGAAAACAATTTTTGGGATATATCTTAATGCAACGACCGAATTAAAATACGGAATACCGGGAAATTTGGTTAGATATATTTAATTATACAATTTGAGAATGTTTTTGTGCTAAATATTTAAGTTATAAATGTTACAGGTTCGTAAGTTTTAACAATATTAAATAAAATTTAATAAATTGACAATTACTGTTAGGCCTTAGTGTTGCATGTAATCCCTTAACCGTATATATAATCAAGCAATTATTCTTGTTTTAATAAAGATTTTTTTTAGAATTCGTTTAATATATACTAGGTTCGCGGTTAATAGTGTACGCAGACGTGGTAATATCAGGTCCCACAATGGGCGCCAATAAACGTCAACTGGGTTTAACCGCGGCTTTTGCTTTTTGTCGGTCTGTACCAACAAGTTCTCGTAGTCTCGTATAATAATAATTACTAACATGAACTTTCATATTACCTTCTGCGAGAGCAGTGCGCGCACGACCTGCTGTGCGACATCGTCCAGTCGCCGCTCCTGATCGCAGCCACCCAGCCCTGCCGACAATGCTGTCAACTGCCCGCGCAGTCGCTCGTTCTCTGTGTTCAATGTCGATAGCTGGTTCTGGTAGTGCGTTGCGGACGCCTGCAAACAAGGATAAGATAACTTTACGCCCCGTGTACGAAGAGTATGACAAAAATGACGTCAAAATTTAAAATAAGAATGTTGTGAACGGATGTCAATTATTACATACACAAGCCTGAACCCTGAACTGCGTGTTCCACATTCGAACAAAATAAATAGTGCGCAAAGAGAAAAGAATGTTATTGCTTAGTCCGACAACATAATTATAAGCTAAAGTCCTTACACTTCGAAATATTTTATACGGTATAAACAGGCATTCCGCTTATGTGTCGTATTTGTTTACCTTGCACTTAATTACCGGCGGAACATTTGTTTCGGAGTTAATTAAGTCGCATTTATTTTTAAAGATATCCGTCACCGTTTTTTACAGAGTCACTCATCAACAGTGACACGGCCACTCCTCCGTCAAAGCTTTCGTTTTAAAAAAACCTTAAAAAGGGCCCATCATTCGCACTCTTAATTACGCGACGCCCACATTCACTAGGAAAAATAAACAAACCAATGTAACTTGATCCGATTCGTATTCCTTCTCTAACGAAACGAGAAATATCTATGAATATCTGTGTGGAACCGCGTCAGAGGTCTTCAAAAATTTGGTTCGTCTCGAACCAGCATATTTATCTTTGCGTTTCGACAACCGAAATCCTCTTTCATTCATCTGATGATCGAAACGTGAGCTACAGCAAATGTTAAATTGGTGTTGCTGGTTTTCATTAGTCATCAAGTGAGGGCACGACACAAAGCGTGTATTTGTTTGTGCGTCTGAAACAACACGCGGTTGATATGGCAAAGGGTGAACTTCAATATAGAGGTGCACAGTTTAATTCTCGTTTCGCTTTCACTCTGTTTGGTTACAGCAATCTGAGTTTTTTTGGAACAACATTTCACATTTATTTGTTTAAAAAAGCTTTAGGTTTTAGGGCTAAATCGAATTATCTGTTTAGTAGCTAGCTGCTGGATATCCAAGAAACAAGTCCCTTGTTGAATACTTTGTATTTTTGTAGTTTTTAATTTTAATATATCGGAATAAATAGATATTTCTTCAATTTGTAATAATTTTAAACTAGGCTAGTCAACCTAGTTTAAAATTATTACAGTAGTACAGTACGTACTACTGTAGTCGTAAGTAATCTGAGTCATTTCATATTATCTCTCTGCTGTCAAAATTGTCTCTGTACCTCTCGAGTCTTGCTGGCTACAATAAAAAGCGTAAATTTTACAAGAATTTTGGTTTTAATTTCAAATTAGAAATAAGTAGAAACCAGCCCCCTACATTTAACTGAACTAATTATAGAATTTTACATATATACTAGATGCTGTAAAAGAAATAAAAATCAAATTTGTCAATTTCTTAGTAACTTAATGCTAATTTTTACTCAGAAGTTAGGACTTTTAACTTCCATTTTGTTTATTATTTATTTATTTTATTATTTTATAGTAATTAAAAAAAACGTAGTTTGGTTTGTGACTTTTATTATTTTTATTATTAGGTATCTGGACAATATGCCTTTAATTGTATAAATGCCCTAATGTTTGGTCGGGGAAATCTAACAGACGTATTTTGTAACTGTCAACTTCTATACGACCTCTGTTTCCACAAATAAATAAGTTATACTCGTAAGGTTATGAGTTATGTACAAAATTTTGTACATAACT